GGCCCATGTGTGGGACAGGCCATGCCAGAGCCTTCTGACAAAACTGGATGGAAGGCCAAATTAGTCTTCTTCGCTGTCCTGTGGGATGCCAAAGACTGGGCCACCACAGATGCCATAGTCAGGAAATTCCAAGCTGATTTGGCCAAGCATCCATTGCAGCCAAACCAGGCGGAAGGTCAGCCCAGCAATTGGCAGACCACTGTGCTGCAGGCCATTGGGATGCTGTGGCCAGCCTCTTGGAGACCATGAAGGCCAACCTCCACTTTGCCAGGGAATGCACCAGAACCCAGAACATCATGAACCGCCATGGGTCTGATGCCAGAAGGCCAGATTGGTTTGACCTTTGAGCCACTCCAGTGGCCACCATTTGTTTCACACTGCCAGACCTTTTGTGTCACCTAGCCAGAGAAAAAAATATCAGCAGCTGAGTTTTGTTTCCAAAAGCCTTTTTTGGCTACCCAAGCTTTGAAGTTGTGCACAAGTGACAGTTGTTTGTGTCAAATGCCATATATGGTATATTTAGGTCACTTGCAAAAGCCAATTTATGGCAATCTTTAGCACAAGCCCCCCTTTTGGACACACCATAACTTTCTTTCCCTTCAATTCCAATAGATTTCCCCTATCAGATACCCTTTTGCTTTACAATATATTCTTCAATCCTTTGCAATACATGAATAGCATATACTATTCAACCTTTCCTCACATCTTATATACCTTCACCATCTACAACCTATTTTTTTGGCCCATCTCCATGTAGCCACCTTGCCCTTGTCAAGCCCAGCCACTTCTGTCTTGCCCTTTACTGCCTGCAGTATGAGCCATTCGTGGAAAATTGAAGATTTCTTGGCAGAGATCACCCATCTGCAAGAGTTGTGTGCCAGAAGACCTGGCTCCACAGTGGTTCAGACTCTGCTGAACACTTTGTGCCAAAGGCTCCAGGCAGTGGATACATGGACAAGTGAAGCAATCATCCAATTGCTGGACCATGTGGAAAAATCCACTTTGCCTGAGACAGAGAAAGCCACTTTGAACCAATGTGTGGAGTCATGAGCCACTGCATCAAACAACCATGCATTGACATTGGCCCATGGTGGCCAGAAGGTGCACAACTTCCCAGCCTACTTGACAAGCCAAGACTGGACCTTGCTCCAAGTAGGCTGGACAAAGGGGTCATCAGACCTGCAACCACACAATTTTGCACATTTGGAGGCAGTGTGCGTTGTTGGCCACATTTGGAGGCAGTGTGCAAAATAACTATTGCAGTTGAGCCAATATGGCAAATCATGTGAACCATGAGTATGGTAATTCATGAAGGCCACCATGCTTGGAGTAGGCCAGCAGTTGCACCTATCGCCAATGATGGCATTCATGTGAAACAGTTGCACCTGCAGCCATATATGCACATATAGGTCTCAAGGGCGCAATGGCCAGAATCATTGACAACTACCATTGTAACTGGGAAGGCCAAACCATGTACATCATCTTGTTTGACAATGGCTGGCAGCAGTGGCTCCTTGGCAGCAAAGAGATGACCAACATGTTACCAACCACAAAAAACAATATATGTGTGACCACTATCTAGAGGACATATAGAGGACTATATATGTTCAATCAAATCAACACTTTTTGGGCTCAGGTACGAGCCACCCACAGGGCCAGCCCACCATGCGTTCACCAGATGGGCCAATGGAGGAAACAGAAGAGAAGTTCATACCTGGGTGGACAACAACACTTGTATCACCAGGAGCAGACAGTATCTGGATCCAAATTGATGACCATTGTAAATTGAAGAACCATTGTAAATTGATGACCATTGTATTTTGTTCCCAAGCCCAGTTCTTTGTGCTGGTGTATGAGCACCATGGACCCAGGATTTCCAACCACCGGTTGGTCCAACTGCTGCTCTACAGGGAGCCATACTCCAACTTCCAGCACATTGTGGACCAATGGTTTAGCCCACATGAGGCACCAGCAGCACCATAGGGCCACTTGGGTAAATTCAACACGTTGTTGCACAGCACAATTGAATGTGTTCCACAAAGTAGACGATGAGTTCAATGTTTGGTTTTGTTGATTCAATCTTTTGTTTCCAATGGCACCAGGCGACCACCAAAGGCTACTTTTTGATTTGCATCAATGGCAAAGACCATGCTACCAGCCAGTGCTTCAAAAACAGCTTGCCAAGCAGCAATGTTTGAGCCTAGCCAATATGCGCATACATTTTCTGTCCTTCTTGTCATTCTAAAGTTTAGAGCATATGTAAACAGCACCATGCAACCATGGAAAAACCATTCAACATTCCAACATTCCAATAAAAGGCCATGATGGCTCATCGAAGGCCATGATGGCTTCTTCCATCCATCAATAAATGTTTGCACATGTCAATGCACCACGACAGAAATGAATTATGTTTCTTTTTTTTCGAAAATGCACATTTGATTATTAGTATTTTTGTACCAAAATCATTTTAATTCTCTGAAAAACTTAAAGTCAATTTGGATTTTGGAGAAACAATTGTTAGAGTTATAACTAGTTATATAGAATTAGCAACTCAAGCTAATAATTATATAACTGATCTTAACTAACTTAACTTCTTATAACAAAACAAGGATCCCAAGTATGTCCCCATGAAGCCGACACATGGCAACATGGCCGTGGTGGCATACTACGACCACCACGTGGGTGGCCCCCGTTTTCGACAATACTACGGTTCTCTGTTCGGGTTACCAAATGCTGTGTGTTCGTTCAATCGATTTCCCCGGTTCTTTCAAGCTGCCTGCCGCCGCCTGGCCTATTGTATGACCAGTATGTACTTTGATGACCTGACAATCCAGGACTTCGGTATCATGGGCGGCCCTGGCCAGGCATTCGTTAATGACCTGGCACGATGCCTTGGCTCACCCTTCCAAACAGAGAAACATCAGTCCTTGGCGGCTCAGTCTGATTTTCTGGGGCTGATCCATGACGTGGCTGCCTGCCACCGGGGTGATCCTGTCAAGTTCTGGGTCCGGGACCGATTGCTCACCAAGGTCACCGACATCATGGAGGAGGCCACTCAGACGCGTCGCCTCCCTCCGGGACTGGCGGCCAAGCTCTTTGGCTGCCTGGGCTTCTTGACGACGGGATGCTTCGGCAAGCTCGGCCGGTCGGGCCTCCATAGCATCAAGGACAGACAATACTCCTCGCAAGTCGTGATGACACCGGAGATTGAACAGTCCTTTGCTAGAATTCGAGCTCTACTTCAGTTGAAGCCTGAAAGAGAATTACCGCTCAATCCAGTACGGCAACACCGCTACTTGGCGGCATCCGATGCAGCGCAAGATAGGCCCCGCGAGGGCTCTGCGGGAGTCTTGTTCATTGACCCCCGTGGTAACCGAAGGGCCTATGTCGTCCATATCAGCCCAAAGATCTTCACGGTGTGGTCCCATCATGAGGCCAAGATTGCACAGCTTGAGCTCTTGACAGTCTACATGGGCCTGGCATATAATGCCTCATCAGTTCGCGGAATGCATGGTATATGGTTTGTTGACAATATCGCTGCCCTCATGGCTCTCATACGAGGCCGCAGCAACAACGATGAGCTGGATTCTATGGCCGGAGCCATCCATGGCCTTCTGTTTGCACTCCGTAGTGCATGCTACTTTGAATGGGTCCAGAGTAAGGACAACTGGTCAGACGGCATCAGCAGACAGGGAACAACATGGTTTTCGTCTCTTCCACACCTACCCCCTGCTCATGCTCCTCCAGCTGCCCTACCACCTCATCGCTCAGGTCTTTCAGTTCGTTTGAGTGCTTTGGATAAGTTAGTGCCTTGGATGGAGTGCTCCCACAGGGAGAGTGTCAGATGTCAGATGACACAAGCGACGTGGGTCGCATTTCGAACCAAAGCACTTTAGTACAGATAGTACAGACCTGAATCGATTCGCAGAAAAGGGTAGCAGCAGTCGACATCTGTTGAGCGAGATTCATCGAATATATTCAATCATTTAAGGTAGGCAGGGTCGGTGATGATGAATTATTTGGGAAGCTTCGAATCAACGTCTCCCAATGTTTGAATGCTCAAGCCAAACTGGGGAGACGCCCCTTGAGGAGCAGTGTCGCTGCTGGTACCTCAAGCTAAACTTTTTCTCCCACCCTGCCACACCCTGTTAGTTACTTTCATGTCCACCTGGTGCTAGTCGAGCTGGTGGCTGACTTGGCTTGTTGCCGGAAGAGTCGGGTTACCTGGTGACAGTCGCTTCACCCGTGGCCTTGCTGGTGCTTGATGGCCGTATTCCGGGTTACTTTCAGTTACCACGGCTATGCTTGTGACGCTTGCAGCCTGGGCTGTCGGCCACATGAGATGGGGACTGTGCTGTCTGCCGCTGTCGTCCGGTTGTCCTTTTCCGGCTGCCCGCCGCCTAGCCATCATAACTGTTCTGTCGGTCCCAGGTATTGGCGATGACTAGGGAGTTTCATTTAATCTTTTCATCGCTCTGTCCAGAGCTGGCATCCGTTGTGGCCGTAGGACCGCCCCTGCGGTATCCTCTCGGTCACTACATACGGATGGAGTGCTCCCACAGGGAGAGTGTCAGATGTCAGATGACACAAGCGACGTGGGTCGCATTTCGAACCAAAGCACTTTAGTACAGATAGTACAGACCTGAATCGATTCGCAGAAAAGGGTAGCAGCAGTCGACATCTGTTGAGCGAGATTCATCGAATATACTTATAGTTACTTACTTTGTACTTTTAATTATGCATGTAGTTTTTCATGTTTTTGAACTTTTTTTTCAGGTTATTATGGTAGAGTAGACTACAATTACATATTTTAACATAAACTTTGTTAAACAAATAGAAAAGAGAACAATTACACAAAAACTACAGCGTCCCACTCTCAATTGGTAATGTTGTATATTATATTCATTGGCCTTATGCCTATACATTGACCCTGAAAAAATCCGAATGTATGCAAAAATTGGTTTGTTTGACATCAGATTTTGATCGGGAACGAAAATACCATGCCGAAGCCGAGCGCTGTAGCTTCAATCAAAGAAAAACCGGTCCAGTCCGCTCGAACCAAATAAAACCTGGTCCGCCCGCCTCATTGGGTCATTGGGCACCTATTTGTGCAAGACCAGACTGACCGTAAGAGAACCTCAAACGTGTGTGAAGCAAGTATAGGGCACACTTACGAGCATTTACGTAACTAGGGCTTTCGATGGTGCTTATTATAAGGCGAAAATGCATGACAAGAATCCGACCCGGGGTCCCAAAGTGTTAAAACATGTTAAAACGTTGTGTTTTGGGGAGACGTCTCCCGTCCATTTGCACCATTTTCTACGGTTTGACAAGGGGTGGTAAATCAGCAGTTCATGGACACCCCTTAAGTTGGGTCTTAAGGGACTAGTCATTTTTAGATATTCTTAGACACTTGTTGGGGTGCCCTGGTGGAAACCCAGTGTTGAATCCCAGCTTTGGAAAAGAAACGCAACTCCTGATGTTCCAACAATGATTGATGCACATGGCGCCGGCGCCTCATTCCATTGAGGCCAAATAGCTGTGTAAACTCCTGGCTCTTGGGGAAGTTCATCCCGCTCACCTACTGGGCCTGGAACCCGAGCTGAGATATTCGCTGCGCCTTCGTTCAGCTGCGCCGAACTTGCTGAGCCTCTTCAGGGTTCATCTCGGACTGCAGAGACCCCTTGGTCACCTCGCCAGTACTCGCCGTGGGAACTCGGGTCGCCGGTAGCACAACGACCTAGCAGGACGACCTAGAGCTGGTTCAGGTGAAATCTCCGCAAGACAGAGGAAACGGAGACTTCAACGAACTATACACTTAAAACAGGCTTGGAGGGATCATTTGTAGCTGTGGAATTGTGGCCCGTCCACGCCCAAAAGCCCCTTCTCACATAGTCTGGAGGGGTGTCAGCATGCCACGCCTCTGTGGTCCCAGAATGGGACTCTGACCGCTCTGACCTATAGATCACTGAGGTCACGTATACCTTGTTTGTGTCTATCATGATTCTGAACTTGGTCATTGCTGTGATCTTGGAGAGCTACGAGGACGACATGGTGTTGCCAACGCAAACGCTTAACTGCTTGGAAGAGTACCCCCAAACTAGCATGGAGCCATGTATGGAACCTGAGTTTCAACCATTTTTCCTCTATAACCAAGTGGGTTTGGGCTTTCATGTGGTCCTTTGCCAGGGGTTAAGGTATAGGAAGCTCCCTGTTCGGCAGGTGGTCCAGTGGTGAGCGAAGCGTTCGGACATGGGGGATGGGGAGAGTTATGGGGAGATATGGCCCAGGAACGTCAACAGATTAGTTTAGCGACAAATAGGCACGTCATCCAATCGACTGCTTGTGAAATGATGGTGTTCTGAATCATTTTCCTTCATGCTAGCTGCCTGGGTCATCCCCGCAACTGGGTGTCCTGGCTAGACTACCCAGCCCACTGCTAGACTGGACCTCCAAGCAGGATGATCCAGCCAAAAATGATCATGGTCCAGTTTTTGATTCACAAGTCCAGTCCGATCCAGTAACACCTGGTCGATTTTACCTTATCAGGATTTATCGGATTATCTGTCTCCTTAAGTCGTGCGCTTATGGTGACTCAACTCCGGTATTTGAGGTCATTGACCTGTCGGGATTCACCTGCCTTGACGCTGCAGCCCACGTCGGTGCCGAGAGCTCGGTCGAATCGCTTCCGGTGAGAGCGAGAGCTGAACGGTCGGTTACGATCAGTCAGTGAGAGCGAGAGCTCGGTCTATTCGGGTGATAGGATCAGTCAAGGCCGTGTTTCTTTTTGGTGTTTGTGTTTTATTTATGCCGTGTTCTGTTGTTCTTTCTTTCTATATAGAGCGGTCCCTTCTGCGAAGTCTCCATGCTGATGACCCCGGTGTGTGTGCGAAGTCTCCATGGGCCAGCATGCGCCCGTGCCCACACCCTCGCAGGAAGGCAAAGGGGAAAAGGAGACGGACGTCGTGGATTATTGCGTCAAGGTGGGTCTGGGGCTCGTCCTCAGCTGGCAGAAAATCATTCCCAGACCATCCAGGCATGGAATATAGTGAATGATTTACATTGGGGTCCAAATAGCCAGCACCACACCAATGGTGGTTTATAGACCCCCCTGAAGATGTATTGTCCATCTAATAACCACCCTTTGGGTGGTACTGGAGGGTAAATGTATATGTAACCATTTCAGACATGGATGGTTTGGGTTTCTATGGATTCTACCCTGGATTCTCCTGCCTGGAAGACGCTGGGTATACTACCCGGACGACCCATCGGCCCGGTCTCCGGTCTGCTTTCGGCCACGAACGAGTGCGCGGAGGATCCGTTCACAGCAGGTCACCTGACACGGTCGGGTCCGAGCAACCGAGCAAGGCAAAGGATTGGACAAAGCCATGGTGCGGTTTTTCAAACAGATAGAAGTGAACCAATGACCCAATGAAATCTCAATGTTTTTGGGCAGTGCTCCTTCACTTTTTGCAGTGCACGCACCCTTGTGTTTTTTCGCAAAGTCATCGAAGCAGGGAGGCGTTTGGTGGGTCAAGTCGTGAAAGACTTTCCGGTCAGGTCGGACTTTCCAACCACCCGCTGGTTTGATTGGGGACACCACCCTCTTTTCACAACCCAACCATTCAGAGCACAAAGGATGCATAGACTGATAGACTCTTAGACGATATTTCACCCCCCATATGAAGAGGAGGATTTCAATTCAAATGGCGGGTTTGGTGAATCAAGAGTCTACATGAAACATTATATAAAGAAGCGAGCGCCAACAAAAATCCATGGCTTTGATGAATCGTGTGGAGCACCGAAATCGCCCGCACCGCACCGCGCGCCGGATCGCTTTCCCCCCCGTTGCGGCTCTCGTCGCCCGCTCTCGGGCAGTTGTGGAAAGAGAGAGATCCGGATCTGAAGTTGCCCGGGAGCCCAGGAGTGGACGTCAGGCTTTCGACGACACGTGGGCAGGTGGTCGACCGGTGAGATAGGCACGAGCCTGGTCAGACATGTTTCATCGTAGCACGCGCACGCTGAAGGCTCAAAGAATCTGGTGGATCGATCAATGCCTTTGGTTTTCATGTTCCAGAAGGGGTAGACCTATATAGTCTCGAGGAAGGAGGTCGAGATGCATGGAACAGGACCTGGTGGAAGCTGGTGGAACAGGACCTTGACCCCAACCTTGAGACCTTGAATTCTCGCCAATGAAAGTCCCCTAGGGCTCCAACCATATCCTTAGGTTCGGTGGTTAGACCCCCCTTGGCACCCACCCCTGGCCCATCTTCTCAGGAGGTCGGCCAGGAGCCCGTTCGGTCGTTCCAAAGCACTGTAAGCATTGAACCAAATGAAGGGCGCCCATTAGTTCCTGATGTTTGGGAATGTAGCCCATTGCAAACTCGCAGACGTGAAGACCCTCGGCAGAACGATCAGTTTCTCATGTTCCCTATGGGGCTCCCGTCTTACCTTCGTTTTGAAGGAGTTCGGGGTGGGGTTAGAGGGTCCAATATCTTCTGATGAGTTTCTTGGGGACCCACAATCAACGATCTCAACCATATAAACATTGTCCCCAACTGTCACTACAACGTCAACACTTCTCGCCGAACTGTAACTTCTGTCAATGAGTTCACTCAATGATATTTGAGTCCTTGGTGTAGGAGTCGAACCACCAGTGATACTCGCTACTCGCATACTGATCATGTTTGCCGAAACTCCATCGTGTTTGAAACCATTCGTTTGATACGATATAGAACAACAGGTCAAAACACCTTTCTGTGAGACGGGCAGAAATGGGACTTGCTGCTTTCACCACCGACCCAGGTATTTGCCCATGGAAGAGGCTATCGCCTATGTCACTGATGCCGCTTTCTGGCACGGAAATGCCTGCGGTGGGTATACTAAGTGGAAGATAGGGGGAGTTCAGTTGGGTCAAAACTGCATCAAATCAAAGATCATCTAGCAGTTCCAAAGGGGACCACTTCTTTGGACTCCCCATTTCAAAGCCATGGAGCCTTGAAGGTGGGAAAGAAGACCTGGTGCATTTTCATGACGAAAGTACCATCGGACCATCGGAAGTACCATCCCATCAGTGTGCCAGGTGGGTGCATATTAACATAGGGAGACCTCTCAAAGACCCCCTGGAAGGAGTAGAATATACATTGGTTGGGGGCCTGGGGGTCTCCCTATTAACATGCACAGCCAGGTGTTGAATTCTGCAAGAGTTGTTTTCTTGGATTCACGTCGCCAGGTTCCGACTATGGTGGAACATCCAGGTTCAACTGCACAGGATAGTTTTGCAGAATTCACCAATTTTTCAGCTGGGGAACCCACAAGATTGGCCCAATAGACGATACTTAAGAATACTTAAGATACATTATCGAGTTATGATATGCTTGCGTCCATGTTGGCTCGCTCTTTTCAAGGTGTGTCAAACACCAGCGTGCCCTTCTAGACCCAACACCGGGGGGTTGGGGCTGCCCTGGTGGCACCTGCAGCCGCACCCCCAAGCGTTTGCCCTGCAGTGAGGAGGCGAAGGTTGACCCCATTCACTGAGCCTGTTGTGTTGCATCTGCTCACACAGAGAAAGGGAGAGAGAGAGAGAGAAAGGGAGAGAGAGAGAGAGAGAGAGAAAGGGAGAGAGAGAGAGAAGCTGGAAGATTGGGGGCATCACCCAGGGCCCCAGTTGCTGGGGTGTCATGGGGTGTCCACAGCCCTTAGAGGTTCAGGGGGATCCATCAACCACCTCGACTGGGGTTCTGGATCTCTTTGGCCGAGAGAACACATGACCCCGGCAGTTCGCCCAACCGGATCGTCGCCGTCGAATTCCACGGACATCGGACAACTAATAAGCGAGACATCGGACTAATAGGGGGGTTGTTTGGACCAGCTTCCAAGACGTGTAGGACCAGTTTCTCATCGTATGTAGGACCACGGATGTGTAGGACCACCTGGAGCGGTTCCGAACCCGTTCACAGTTGCCCGATTCGGGTGAACCTGAGGCCGTGCGATATGGCATGATGAACCTCCAAAATGAGGATGACAGGCGAGCTGGAAAACGGCGCACGCTGGTGCCGAAGCCAGCTGTGAAAAACGGGGATAGTCCACTCAAACCAGCTGAGGATAGCCTACTGGGGAAAAGAAACATGCAGCGTTCCAGCTCTTTGACATTCTTAGGCCTTGACAAGAACCAAACAGTAAGAATCGATGATGTTATCAGGACTCAAGGGTTTTGAGGAGGGGCTGTTGGATTCATTTTCTTTCAATTGGGGAAGTTTGTTTCCTTTAAACAGTGGCTTCTTAGGGGAATCAAGAGAAAGCTCAGGCTTACAAGGATGTACGTGAGCCGACCAGATGTACCTAGGCTGTTGGTGTTGTTTTCGATCAGATCATGTCATTTGGTGGATGGCCCTTCGCACAGGATGGCTGCTTCCATGCCTGCGTTGTCTTCCAAGAAGTTGGGGCCCCAGAAGTCGGTGGGTCGCCCTGGGTATTGGGGTGAATCACCCATTGTATTGGGGAAGATGTTCTTCCTGGCAATGTATTGCCCATTGGATCCCATTGGTTTGACTGTTTTTTTTTGTTTTGTTTGTGTTGCTTTATTTGTTGAGTCGAGAGGGGAATATGATCATAAACTTATATAGTCATAAACTTATATTATACACACATAATCATATATACATGCATACATATATATAATTATATATAGTTTTAGTGATACATGCATTTTTCACGGTATATTTATTGCCCGGTTCCTGGACAGAACAGCAGATCCAAGTCTCAGAGTCTTAGAGACCCTGCTGACAAGGTAGCAAGCTGACAAGCCCTTTCAATCTTGTTCTCAAGGTGGTTCTGGTTTTGTATTTTTGTTGAGCCTTCAAGGATGATGTTGATAGAACAGGATCCAATAAGATCCAGCATGCGATTTCGGTGAAGGTAGATGGTAGTTGAAGGAAGGCACGTGGAATCTGGGTTGGACATGATTGCACACCATATATTATATATAGAGAACACTGTAGACGACTTGCAGGTGTGGTTTGTAGACCAGTTGAGACTTGAGGGGTGCTAGTCCCTGGTGGGAGTTGAGACATTCCTACTGAATGATAAGCCACTTCCTAGCAATCCGAGCGAGAGACTCGTTCACTGGAAGGACCAAGGCCTTCGGTTCCAAAGGTTCCGAGGTTGGAACATGGGACAGACCTCCCGGGAGGGTTGGAACAGGGCACTGTAGATTATATTTCATCCCATATGACATTGAATGACATTGAAAAATCCTCGATCATTACATTGAGGGTTTAGTTATTCAATGAGTCTACAGAATCATTGCCAGGACCCCCAAGGGGTGGTTAATGGACACGCCGTAACCTCTAAGGGGCTATTAATGGACACCCGGAATCCGTGGTATAGACGTCCAGTCTCATGTCGTTCCGAGGTTGGCAGAGATCCCGATGAAGTTCATCAACTCCTTGGACCTCCCCTGTGTGGATGGCAAGGCCAAGAAGCGGACGACGGAGAGCCGAGCCGAGGAAGCGTGCACAGGGCGGGTCGTGGGCCGTTCGCCGTTGTGAGTTGAGTACGCTAAGAGTTTTGCCAGACACTGGATGGGGACTCGCATCATTACCATGTAGCTAAATCCTGGTAAATATATATATATATAATATATGCATATATTTTACCAGGATTTACCTACATTGGGGTGGGTGAAACACGGGCCGGAAAAACTGATCCGCATGTTCATATGCTTTTTGCGTGGAATGTTGGGGTATGACACGTGCCCCAGACGGGGGGCGTCATGGATTTGTGTCGACGGCTTGGAGTTGGGTCCTGGGATAGACACTGTAGTGTTCTGGGACTAGACACAAGCATGGCGTGACCAGCCTTTTCTCACATCACATGTCGCCTTCCTCGAACTCTCATGCACGTCTTCGCGTTCCGGCCAAACACATCAGCAGTTTCCGGACTTCACCCCGTTCACATGTCCTTTTTCTTCCGCAAAAAGAAAGGCCAACGTTGTCTCTCGCCCCTTCCGAACAATGGATCCGCCGGACGTTGGATGCGCCGGACGTCGGCATCTCCAGAAATCCCAGCTTTGTTCTTAGGGCTCCTGGCCCACCTCCTGAGAACATGGTTGGGGTGGATTTGGGGGGTCTCACCACCTTCTAAGGAGATTCCCTTTTGGAAGTGGTCCAGGATGGCCGTCCAGCCAAGATGCTTCCAACGGACTGAGAAATCCAGCCCCCGACGGACTTCAAAAACCGAGAGAAGAGGAGCCCGGAAGGTGCCCCTTCATCGGGTCTGTGGAAAGATTCCTTGAAGCATGCTCACCCGTGAAGCATGCGTTGTTGGGGAACCAGCTTAGGGCCAAAATCAAAGGTACATTATCATACATATCTTTAAACAAATTATTGCTATAATCATAATCGTATTAATTGGTGGTGGTTTTTGGACACCCCGAATCACCTCTAAGAAGCTATTTATAGACAGCTCAACTGGTGTCGGTCCTGGTGTACCAAACGGCGGAAGTCCAACCGGCTGGGTGGTGCGAGGATCGAACGACTGTTACAGGGCTGATGTATTAGGAACTGTTGGGCATAGTATGGACAATTCTATAGTGAAGTCAACCACCCTTTTCAGGGATTTCGTGGGCAGATGATGGTAGATGCCATGTTATTTCATGTTATTTCAATCTATCTCTATCTCTCTCTCTCTCTATAATATATAATGTTCAGTTGAAGAAGTTGTCATGCTGCCTCCCTTCCAGTTTCCATCGGTTTGGGTGAGAGGCAGGGCGTTGGGCCCATGGCATCTCCAGGTGCACTTCCGAAATGCTTTACTTCAGGCTTTGTCCCCAGCCAGCTGCATGTCGCTGTGATGGGTTGTCTCATGTGTAGCCATTTTAGTTGGTTGGAGGCTTTGAAGCAGCAGTTTTTGCAGCAGTCGTTTGAGGTCCTCAAGCTCTTGTGCCACCGATGGGACCCAGATCTCATCGATGAGATCAAGCAGTTCGAGGCGAGCCTCCAGTTGCAGATGGTCCTGGGCGCGGCAAGTAATTAAGGCTTTGAGGGTGCAGAGCCCTTTTGGAGGGTCCAAGGATTCCCAGGGTGGATGAACTGTATCCAGTAAATGTAACTGTAACTGACACTGTTTCATATTCCCATGTAACTGTAACTGATGCTGTTTAACTTATATAAACAATTCCAAGTATCACGGACTTTTGCAGAGATGCTGAGATGCAGCATGAGCTGAAGCCGGTTTCGATCCTTGCAAATCAACCATTATTACCATTTCATGTGCACAAGTGAGTGGGAAAAGTATTTCTTTGAAGTCTGGTTTGTTCCACAAAGGTCTGAACTCCAATTGAGCCTTTCTTACTTCATATCCTTACCTCCAAATAAAGCTACACTTGCCTACAGTGTTCACACATCGCAGAGTGCACTCCTAGTTTGTGTCCAGGAGATGCTGGATGCAGAGACGGCGGAGAAGCTCAAGATGTCCGGGTCTTCCAGGGTTGGCAAATTGGGTGTTGCTTCACAAAAAGGGTGATTCACTATGATTGACTAGATATTTGGATGTTCCCCAAACAAGGCAATGGGTGATTGCCCAGAACTGGGGAGTGTATGAATAACTGACTGGTGCGACGAAAGCAGGGAATGAGGGTGGCTGGATCCAATAGAATCTCTATTGGGGGCTCAGCCACCCTTATTCCCTACTTTCGTCGCACCAGTCAGATGGGAGTGTCTGAATCGTGTGTTTGATCGGCTCTCCGGTTCCCGGGAGCCGATCCGGACCGATTTCCGAGCAGATCGGAGGATCGGATGATCGCCTCCCTCACCAGTCTCCTGGGGTCGGACGAAGAACAGAGTGAGGGATGTGGCCTGGTTCACGCTGCTTGGAATTGTCTGGGCTTGGAGCCATTTTTGAGTGGGAGAAGAGGATACAGACACTCCAAGTTTTTTTCCAGATACCGATTTTTTGGAGAATTGTAGAGAGTTGTAGTTGTAACCCCAAGATCGATCACAAAAACCCTCGTCGGTGGCGGCTACATTGGCCTTTGTTGGACGCTGGAGCATTTTTGAGGGCACAACCTGCTGGAGCATTTTTGATTGTAACCTTTGTAGCAGCTTATTAAAGATCTAAAAACAATCGTTATATATAATATATATATATATCAAAAAGATAACCATAACATACCATAACCATGCAGATATAATAAGCTCCAGCAAAGGTTACAATAAGCAGCTTCCATTGTAGCAGCTTTCTTGCCTTGCTGAGTCCGAACAAAGTCTGAAGAGTCCGAGTCCGGCCGCGGGATCTCGGCAAAGCTGACTGCTGAGGGGCAAGATCATGCAGTCTCGACAACAGCAACACCAGGCGGGACACCGGGAGGCCACCGGTTTGATAGCATCGGTGTACCTCGCGTCGGGAGCTGTTGGGAGCTGGGTTCTCACAGACCCCAACCATCGTATGGAACAACATGAGCCAACAGCCAGACCCTTAAAACATGTTGAAGCCACGTAGTATCACCTGTATATCAACTATTACGCATACATGGATTGTTTTGGATCTGTTTGTTCCACTCATCTTCGGAAGCTGGTTTTACAGCTCCTCAGATCGGCTCCGTGTGGAGCTCGTCCAGACACTCAGACTGGGACTGGCTATATTATGCTGGGGGTTTCAGAGGTCCGTATCGGCACATAACAGGACCATACATGAATTGCTTGGGTCCAAATGGGGTTCTCCAGGTCTTTTGCGATGCCACTGGCATTTGGCTGACCTACACTCAGCTAAATTGTCCGCAACGAGAAGGGGCAATTGGTAGGAACCAGACTAAGAAACAATCAAATTATCTTATATATATAGAGATCCTCCAGCTGTAGAGGATTTCTGGCATTGCTTGGAGCCAGTGGTTGCCTCATAACCTACTGGTGACTGCCTTGGCCATCGTGGTGGCCTCCAAGCATGTTGGGGAAGCACCAGCGAAGTGGGGAACTACTTTTCCAGACTCCTGTTTGTTGTGTAATATTCGGAGAAAAACTCACGTGGAAGTGTAATTGAATGGAAAACAGAAGACAATCACTTGGCTTGGTTTTCGGATTGGTCCAAGGAGCCATGCCATCCACTTCTTATTTCGAGTGGAGAAGTGGCCAGTGTGAGCCCCCAAAAGTGGCGTACGAGGGGTCACATGTCGGGGTCCCATCCAGTGAGTGGATGTGACAGGGGCACCCCCTATCCTCCAAGTTTGGCACCCCGACATGGGCTTACTGGTACAAACTACTGGTACAGATAATGATACCGCTGAGATCCAGGTCCTACTTCAACCGTCCCGGTGGGGTTTGACCCGGAAATGCTCAAAAACTATGCCATGTGTAGACATTTATGTTCATGTTCCACTGTGACGTGGATCCCAACCCCTAGCTTTTCTGGAGTCATTGTACATAGTGCCTCAAGCTACAATGGTTCTTTTGATTTTTAATGTGACAAACCATTCTACTTCGCTATTTTCTATACCTGCAACCTCAGGAAATTAATCGAAGGCCCCCCTTAGCTCTGGGATTAGTTATTGGCAATTGGGGTTAATTGTCCAAAGTTGTGCAAAACCCTTGAGGGGTTGGATGACAAGAAGTTGTGCAAAATCACTTGGAAAAACTTGTAGAATTATATTAGCTCACCAGGGGGGTGGATAAATGATCAAGGGGGAAGGGAAGCAGAACGTGGAGAAACCATCTCAAAGGATAGAAAGAACTTACAGTAACTATTTGTGGATCAATAGTGTTATTTGTGTATTCGCGTTGATTCTGATTGAATGTTGCTTGTGATCTTGTTGCTTGTGATCTCGTTGACACTCAACCCCCTCAGATCAATTATGCTTGAATTTCTGAACTCAGACCTCCAGCAGGTTAGAGACCAATAGTTGAGTTACCCCGGATTCAACAAATCAATGAATCCGAACTAGGGGGTAGAGGACCTCCCTCTAAGGCAGCAGGTATGATTTCCCCAATCCGGAAAGCCCGCCATCGGATCCAGGAAGGCACCGTGTCCATCAAGGAGACATGCCATTCGCATCGTTGTTTTTGGGAGCCGTGACGTAGATAGATGGTTCAGGACACTTGACTCGAAAACACACATGTTCCTTCTTCAGAGGCTTGGGAAAACATACATGTTTCAGATCAGGAGGAAGAGGATAGAAGAGGCAGATCGGTCAGTTTTCCGTCAAAAATTAAGCCAAGGCGTTGGAGAAAACCATTTCATACATGGTTTGGGGCTCAAAATCAGACCCTGAGGGTGGATGTGGCTGAAAAGTCAGACCCGGAAAACAGAGGGTTCAAGAGTTTGTGTTGCTTTGACCAATGGGTTTTAGAACCAGATGGACCCACTGCCACACTCTAGGAACTTTGAATTTTGGGCCATGTAACGGTATGTATGTTTACCAGAACATGCACTGCCATGTGTACACTGCCATCTAAGACCAAAACATAGAATAATTAGCTCATACCCCGAGCATACACACACACAATTCATTACAAACTATACAGTATAACTATACATCTCAGGACGGATGTATATTGGGACTCTCACCCTTAATCTCCACTTGCTGGCATGACCATCCCACTGGCCGCTACCGAGGGTATACGTAGGCCGCACACCGCACCGGGGAGACCCTCTGCCCCCCCCCGAGCAGATGCGCCGAAGAGGCGGCGTTCGCTCCTCCGCCAGCAGAGGACCACGTCGCTGCGATGAAGATCCAGCAGATCGTCCGCGACCGACGTGGGAACGCTGAGCTTGATCGGCGCTGCGAGCGAGCGAGCCGCGAGCGCCGATCGGTCGGTGCGTGCGTGCGTGCGTGCGGGTGTTCAAGGCACCGGCACCAGTTCGGGCAGGTTGCATGGAAAGGAGATTCGGATGGCATCCTAGATTCTGACCATGCTGTTTGGGTGTCCATGGGTGTCCTGTCCCCGGACAGTGTAGTGTAGTAGGGTAGTCCAGCCAGGACAACCAGATGGTCGGATGGTCCTGGTAGATTCCAGCCAGGATTCTCAATATATTATGCAGAGTTGACCTTGCAATCTTCAATAAACATCACGTGTTCTGCAAAGATGTGGCCCCCCCAAATCTCGGATGTCACTCCCTTCTTGTAGAGCCTAGACCCAGTCAGAGGATAGCCTTTCACATTTTTTTTGGGGATTGATTACGAACAGGTTGGAGAAGATGAACCTTGATTTTCCTGGGAATCGAATGGCTCGGGACTCAGTATATAATCGCAAATCCGTATCCTCATCTTCCCTGCACAGACGACCAGTCGGGCCGTCACCAGTCGGACCTCGGAAAGTTCCGTGGAAATCCGTGAGCATTTTGGTTGGTCGGAGCACCCTTCTTCATGTGGGAGCGGGGAGAACGAGCGATTTGAAGGCGACAGCGACCCAGAGAGGGTAGGTGGTGGAGACGTCAATGGGTTTGCAGAAAAGAATTGAAAGATAGAGAAACTCACTGAGCATGGTGGAAGTTGATCACACATTCAGATTCACGTTGATCCATCATCCACCCACGCATACAAGAGACCTGTAGAAGGACCAAACCCACTCCTCCACTCCTCCACTCCGTTCTCCCATGTATTCCAAGCCCAAACGCACCAAAAAACCGCATGCTGAGGAGGCATTGGCATGGTCTCGGTGCCTAGCACTGGTGGCCCTCAACCAGGTGCTTGCCGCCGCGGGATTTGTGCGGATTGAACGCAGCTGCTTTCGGATCGACGATGATCAACTCGTCGAGTACGGTTGGACCGGCAATTTGAGTACGCCGTACGCATACGGCAGCTGTGGGCTGCTGGACCCATTGCAGTTCGTGCATGGATCAACAAAAAGGAGCAAACTCATCCAGGAGTTCTCTTGCATGATGAGTTATCTGGGCAAAATGTGCGAAAACGAGCGCCCCAGAGTGCAGATGAGCATGGCAATTCAAAATAGGTCTTCCACCCACCTGATTGTGTCGGGCGTCCCAGCTGCTTGTGCCCTAGGATTCGAACAAGCAATTGTTTTCATGGTCTTTACCACATGAGCCATTGTTTTATACGAAGGGTTTTTACTCACCACCAGGTCAACCATTCTTTCAATGGTCTTTGAAGGCAAACGGCTTTATCCATCCCAGCTCCCTCAGCTCCCTCCCTTTTCCGGTCGACCGGGTCCGCGGAACGAGAACCCCGCGTCCGGGACCGGACGGACCGGGACGCGGTCGGTCTCTGGTCGGAGCAGTTCGGAAGAGCTGGAGTCGCCGAGTCGCCGAGTCGCCATCAGATGAAGTGATGACGAGCCATCGCGTAGGGTTTGATTTTGGGCCAGAAAAAGGGGACTTCTGTCTTGTGAGTTGCAGATGGCAGATGAGTCATCCGATGATTGACAGTGAGAGTGGTGAACCCCAGTGACTTTGGCCAATTGCTGGTCGTTCTTGGCAAAGCTGAGTTTTTGGATGTTTTTGGCTTTTGGAGTATGATGAAACGGTTCTATTGGTATTTTCGCGTCTTCCCTGTGTTGCCTCTTTTATTGAATCCCATCATCATCCATCTAAGCATGTAGACTGTAGTCACATAGACTTTTGGCTCTTTGTTTAAAACTGTTCTATATACGATCGCCATGTTTTCCCACATGCCGCATGCCGCAGTCATGGCGCCGCATGCGTCCGACTCGGGACCCACCAGGGGCCAACCCTGCCTTCCACGATGTGGTGAGCTAATCGCACGAGTCCCAGTGAGCTGAGGAGTGAGCGGAGGACGGGTGGACACAGGACCAGGATCAAAAGGGGAAATACTTGAAAAAAGGACCTTCCTAGTGACCTAACTTGAGATCCCAGAATGGGGTCACGAAACGGCCTTGATAAGGTCACCCTATCACGTCTACCAATCCTGAAGAGGTCACTGAGAAGGTCCTGGTATATAGTTACTTCAGTCTCAGTAGTTTTGAGTAATTGACATTTGATGATTTTGATGTGGGAATCCCTGTTGACCAAAAGCGAACCTTTTCTGTTGAAAATGAGATGTTCCTCATATGCTTAAAAGCACGAACGGTTTCGGTGTTTTGGACCCGCAGCAGACTGGTCTTTAGGGCCTAGAACCACTGACCCCTTGGAGGGTCCTTTCCTATTTTCAAAGGTGAACCAACTGAGCATAGCGCCGAACTCATGTCGTACCGGTCACCGCGCTCCCGTGTCGCTCCGGTTCTGAGGTTCGCCAGTCTCGATGATTTCGCTCGCTGGATCATCCCATCCGACCTCCAACCATATCCTCAGGTTCGGTGGTCAGTCCTCCCTGGTACCCCAACCAATCCTGAACAAAAACATGAGGTAGACGGTGGATGAATGAATCCCCGTTGTTTTGGGGGGGAACATGTAGAAACACGGAACTGGGGAAGATGTTTATACCTGCTAACCCCCAAATGGGTGTTGCTGGACCTGGAGTCAGGTCTTCAGGGACCCGTTCTTCCTCGCACTGAGATCCGATGGAAGAAGCGTCACACGTCTTAAGCTTCAAACAGGTTTTGTCAAAGACGTCAATCTATAGAATTATATATAGGATATTTATCCCTGAGAAAAAGAAAAGATATAATGCATATATTATATATTTGCTCGGTCGGGTTCTAAATGCTACCAGATTTGTCATGGTGTTTCCCTCCTCTTCCATCCCATGTGTTCGCACAAGGTGACAGGAGAAAAGGAACATTTCGGCTTCCAAAGTGACGCAGATGTCTCAATTCGGCTCAGCGATGACGCGATGATTTCTCATTTCGGAGGGCCCGCCCTTTTCGGGAAATGTTGATCATATTGGGATCTTTGGGTCCAATTCGTTTGAAGCAACATGTTCTTTACTCAGTCCTCAAGTGGTTTCTTCGATTGAAAGGTGACTTCTGTGAGGTGTTGGTTGATTTCCTGATTATTGGTGAAGAAGTGTTTTTAGTATATAGAGGTTTTAGTAACAGGCAACTGATGGTTTCCTGCTCCAATTGATTTACTGATTGCTTTAGCAGCTGTATTAGGATGTTGATCCGCGGTTAGCTTTTCTTTTTTGCCCATAGAGTTTGAACGTGGATTCGCTGGGCAAGAATTTGTTCGAATAGTCACGGGCGCCCTGTGCGAATGTGTGCGGCCATTGGAATCGCCGCATGAGAGAAGCGAGGCTGAGATTGCGGAGAGTTTTGCAACAAATTGGTTGGCTTTTTTGCCACAAAGGCTCACTGATTCAGATGGCCGTCCAAGAAGCATGCGTACATATTAATTGGTGATTGCATGCTGGTGGACGTGTGATGTTGCTGAGGTGGCTGATCAGTAAAGGACAGTTCTTGAGACCAAGGGTATTAAACTCTGTGAATCAATGGTATTTACAAACTACTGAATCAAAGGGTATGGACTCTGTGAATCAAACTAGTGCAAGAGTTTTGCATATCTTTGCAGAGGATCCAAAGGTCTGTGGAGTAGAGGATGACAGTACAGTTGTCGGCCACCTTTGGATGGACAAGAAGTCCCAGCACAGTTGTGTTAATGACTACTTGGGGGCCATGCTGCTGTAAACACAGCCAGGCCAGGCCCCTGTGTAGTGACAACGTGACAGGCAGCAGGAAAACGTTTGCTTTTCAGGTTTGGCTGTTTTTTGTGTCTGCTTTTGTGGCAGGAGTTTTGACTGATCTGTGGATCAGTTTACTGATCTATTTGATCTGTCTCGAAAGCACCACTTGTCGAGTCTTGCCCCAAGAAAGACCCGTTGCCACTGTCCATCGGCGTTCGATGGAGCGACGAAGGTGGCTCCAGTCGCCTTCTTACGGGCTCCCATTGGAGTGGGCGAAACATGGAGCCGCCGGGCAGACGGTGACATAGCCCTTGAAACCAGTGGTGACCTACTACCCTGACACTCCATGGGACTGGAAGCCTACATTGACCCCTTTTCAACCACAACAAATAATGTAAATATGGCATACATGGAGTGTTTGGGCTAGAATGGTGGCTGGATGAGGAAATGGATTGCCCCTTATTGCCCCTCAATCAGCACCTCTTGAACTAGGTCAGTATTCCAATCTTCGGCTTGCCGCCACGGCTCATGACTGATGCTGCAATCCGAGCTCATGGCTCACAGCCATTTGAGTAGCTATGATGAAATACAGGGGCACCGAGATTTATGTGGCTGCAGTGGAATGGCGCCTGCGGATCTTGGCCACATCAGCAGCGTGCTTGGTCATGTTTTTGACCCTCAGCTGAAGGAATGCAGAAGTGGACTTCGTGGCAGTGGACTGGAGTGAAACGGGGCCCAGACCTTGCGATGTATCGCCTTTTCATTGCAAAATGATCTATGGCCTCAAAAACATTTGCTTGCAAGATCTTGCGAAATGGTCAGTATAGCTGCCTGTATATCGACCCATTGCCATACACGACATGACACTATCATAATCGTTACATGACTGTGTATATATATATATGTACGTCCGAACATATCCGACCCTCTCAACCCATTGGAGAGGCTCATGTTTTTTTGTTCCATGAGTTTTCCGTGTTTTGCCGTGCGAGGCCATTCTACCTCAACGCCACAGCCTGTCGTGAAGTTCCCACATGCGTTGCTGAAGTCACCAACGCCTACCCGCAGAGGCGTGGTCAGCCTGGGTGGGCAGCTGAAGAAGCTGAAGAAGCGAACCAGTCTTGAGCATGACAGGCTGACAGACAGAAGTTGCTTGTCGTTGCTTGCTTTCGCCAGAAGTTTCATATCCATGGCCAGTGGACAGAGATGCTTCAAAGACGGGCTTACGGAAGAAGCCCAGTCTACTAGGCTAGATGATGCTATATATAGCTTGTTATTATATATAGTATTATATCGTTGTCATCTTTATAGTATATATATATACATATACTATACTAATATAGTTTGTTATATATATATTACTATAGATTATAGACTCCTCTAAGACTTAAGACGCCCAACCATCCACCCGAAAATCGTCCAAAGCCGCGAGTTGGACACTCGCTGGCTGACGCGACACTCGCGACACTGACCGCCGAAGATCGCGGTTGCACGGTGGCACCGGCTGAGGTACCACGCCTTTGTCTCAATGGGACTTGTTGTGATCCTTCTGCGCGAAGGCACCTTGCTCCTGGCCGCTGGGCGGTCCGGACGGAGCAACGGAGCAAAGAAGTGGGACGGTGGTGAATGAACGGACCCATGTGCGAGGCCATTCTGTAGTTTGCACACATGGGATTTGGTTCACCGATTTGTTTGGACAAAAAGCAACATTGGAATGTGGTTTGCAAATGGTTTCATGTATTGGATTTGGACATTTGGGATTTTGGTTTGGAACTCGTTGGTCTTGTGGGGGGTTGTAACGGTGGTGGGTCATTCGTAAGGATTGCTTCGCCAATCCATCCCCCCGACAGCATCTACCGGCGGCCAAAGATCGCCCTCGCCCCGTTCAGAGGGGTGAAGCACATGTCACCGAAGGTCGCCACTCCCCTTTTGCGATGGGTTCGGGCGTCCACCAAAAGCCCACCAAATGGGCGGGTTTCTGGGACGACTGGTCCCCTTTCAAAGGTCTTCCACTGAGATGAAACCCAGTTCTACAACATGTCAGCCCATGACCCGACCACTGAACTCACGCTGGGCCATGGGTTTGAACTGGCCATGGGAGGTCAGGGGCCGTCTCCCGAGCGAGCGAAACCCAGGTTTCAGCCACAGACTGGCTCTTGGATCCCAAGAAATCACAGGGCCTTGAATTCCAAGAACCTTGGCGACCACGGTGGGGTCTGCGGACCGACTGGACCTGCCGCAGGTCGCGGTGCTGGTCGGGAGTCGGTAAAGAGGCTGAAACTCCGAAAACTGAAAGGAAAAGGATCTGTTCTTTGGAGGCGTGTAGTTGATGCTTGATCTAGAAAATATACATTTATACCGAGGAGGTTGTTTGATGTATAGGACATTTCAAGGCTAGGAGTTTGCATTCTCCACGCCCCTTGGCCCCTTGGCAGTTTTTCCAATGACCCTCCTCTGATCCTCTGAACGCGTTTGAGCCCCAAACACCTTTGATTGGCAAAGGCACCATCAAAGCACTCCCAGGTTGTTCGGGCCGGCTCACACTTCTAGAATGATCCTATGAATAGTCATCCTTTTCCTGTGACCGTTTGTGGATGATTCTAGATGGAACACACGTTGAGTCCCGTATACTCCCTAGGGCTCCTGGGCCCATCTCCTCAGGTTCGGTGATTAGACCCCCCTGCCATCCACCCCATCGAACCTCAGGAAGTGGGCCAGGAGCCCTAGGGACTACCCAAAGCTTCAAGGACTCTCGGACTACCCAAGCCACCCGTCCTCCCACCTCTCACCCGGTTCGTGGGAACCTGAAAACCACTTAGGTAGAGGAACATCGTTTTCCTTGCAGCCCTTGCATCAGGCTCCATGTGGGTCCCTTCCACCAGGGTGTATGTTCCTCCAGACTCGGAGACTTGCTCTGAGGATTACTTATCGCAAGGCTTGCTGTGCGCCATCTTGGCCTCGCTGAGCTCCGTGGAGGCCTACTTGGCCACGAGCGAGTTGCCCTTGGTGCACTTGGGGACGGTGCCTTGGACGAACGACCGACCCATGCGCTCGCGAACGGACGAGTGTGACGGTCCAAAGATGTCCAAACATTCGGCAGAAGCCAAGTGGAGAAGCCAAGTCCTGAGATGACTACACTGGGTCAGTTGAACTATAGTTAAGCATAGAGCATCATAGAAGCTGAAAAAAAGAAAATGAGGGAACATAGTCTTCCAGCGGTTCATGTTCAGGTTCACCTGGGCATAGTGACCATCAGATACCATCATTGTATATTATATATACTGTATATATGTTATAAATCAAAAGTCGATACCTTGGGTACAGCTTGTGGCATGTTACAGCCATTGCATTTTGGCTTCGCAAGTTTGCACTTGAGTGGATTGCACTGATTATTTAACATCATATCGGTCCATACGGCTGTCGGTCAAGACCAGGAGATCCCCAGTTGACCACCGAACATGAACGGACTACGAGTTGGAGGTCAACCTGCCGGGTGTTGACCCACAGCCCCAAAGTTGTTGTTTTCTTTTACAAGCATCAAACATGCAAGATGTGTCTAGAAAAAGGGTCCCTTAGGGGTGAAGGAGTGTCTATGAACCACCCTTTGCATTCTTTTTTCAGAATGGTTCAGCAGAGCAGAGCAACCCTGTACCAGGTGCCGGTCTACTCCATCCGCTACCTCGAATGGCTGGTGGACGTCCCCTTGCTGATGATCCTTGGAAAAGATGAAAGACCTGGTTGTTAGTTTCACATTATCATGTGTCCCGTCGGTTTCAGACGCTTTTTCTTGGTTTCAGAAGGTTTCAGATGGTGCTTCTTGTTGGTTTCAGATGATGTTTCTCGTTTTTAGAACCGTCATCCAAGAAGGTGGTTTTTTGAACCGTCTTCAACCTTGATCTCGGATGAACAGTTCGACCCCTTGGGAAGCCAGTGCATTGGGCCCGCGGATGGCCCACGAATGGAGCCCACAAAATGCTCATGTTTTGGAGATGAAACGACCCACCAGCACTGCGGGTCCATTTGGGATGGGTGTCATTCCTATCGACAGCGTGCGGCACTGCGGCCACTCTTCTTTGGCAGGGTGATGATTGTTCATGTTTGCTCATGTGCTTCCTCCTGGATGTTTTTGTCAGATATGCTTTTTGAGTTTAGTATATATGTAGTAACTGATAGCTATATAATACTATATATATTATATTATATTATATTAACTAACATACTCTTTGCAGGGACACAATGTACTGCGCATGCCACAACAACAGACAGGTCATTTCAAGGATAATATGATGACGTAGTATGATATACCTGTTTTGCTCCATTCACGGCACATGTACTCAGGGATGCTAATTTCCACATCCTTCAGTCCTGAAAGTGCCGTTGAAACAAACATTTGTCATGTCCAGCCTGTCCAGCCTGTCATGTCCATGAGTGTTTTGACACGAACCTTGTCCGCCCTAGGGTTCGGAGCCCATGTCCTTAGGTTCGGTGCTTAGATCCCGGCACCCACCCCTGCCCCATCCGCGAAGCGGAGGGGGCGGCCCGACATGACCGCCGCTCGACGCACCGGTGCCGCGTGGCGTCCGAGGATCTTGACGTGCTGTGGAGCTTTGGGCCGTCCGCTGAGCGAAGCCCTTGGACCCATCCTGGTGACGAATGGCCACCGTGATGAGAAGTGGAGAGAAGTGGAGGAGTGGATTGAGTGGAGGTGGTTCAGCTGTTCGAATAGATATACTGTACGTGTTATTATACATTTGTTATTATAAAATGTTGGTGGTCCTGATAAACACACCCTGCGCAGGATCAACGTGAGCGTATGTGAGCATGCAGTCTAATTAACAGGAATTTCTTCCTGAAGCTTTAGTCGTGTGAATGCGTGTGGTCGAGGCATGCTGCCTCAAACCAATCCCAAGATACCCTAGGAATCCAAGTGCCTTTTCGCTGAGAAGGTACTTGGACCCCCTAAAATGGACATGTGCTTTGGCACCCCTCTCCGCCCATTCGTTTTGTTCCTTTTCACCACATACAGCAGCATTGGGCCACTCGAGTGCTCTCTGTCCGAGGCTACATCGTTGTCTCGTGGTGCACGCTCTTCATTGAAGATTTTGCGGTCCGCTGGGCCGTGATCTCTCATACCTTCTTGGCTTATGCGTGGGCATCGGAGAGGATGATCCAGTGGCTCTGGCTCGGAGCGTTGTCGTTCAATTCCACGCGATCCACACGATAGTTCCGGATTTGAGGATAGGTGGCCCAGTTGCCTAATGGCGTCGTCTTTGCAAGCTGTCTGCCCTTGTGGGCTGCACACTGCTTGACAAGCGCAAACTTGGAGGTTCGACTCCTCCCTGGGTCGTTTACTCTGCTTAACAAGCACGTGTTGGAACCCTGATCCCCCGCACTTCCGAACGACAAACTAGTTAGATCCCAGACCACCCATTGTATTGGAATTAGTTACCCACATTAGGATACAAAAAAAGGGTCATAAGTGGGGTCAGTGTATGTAACTATTCCGATCCCATAGAGTGTCTGAGCCCGGGGCCCTCCGAGCTCGGACCGCCGACAAGACGCCGCTGGCGCGTCCCAAAGCACCGGTCGCCCCGATGCTGGGGGCGGTGGATCCCGGTTGAGCATGTGAGCGGCTTCCAGCCCTGGTGGGTTCATGCATGTGTTTGTTTGACCCATCCCATTGGTCCATTAGTTCAAGTCAAGGGACATTGGGAGGTAACACCTGCATTCTGAGTGTCCTGCAAAACTGAATTCAATTTTAAGAGGTTTTTGCATTGAACAAAGGTGTTTCAGTGAAAGGGTCGTATTCTGACCACAATAACATCATGATAGCCCATGATGAGACTCCAGTTGCGTAGCTTTAAGTTTTTTCGCGGATTGGCTTCCCCACCAAAACCGCGATTTTGTTTGTTCTAGGGCAACGGCTCAAGAGTCCGGATAAAATCACCAACACCTCGCAAATGTTGCCTTAGGCTCCCGCCGAGATTATGCTTGTCACCTACAAAAACCCTCTGGTTGGTGGACATGAGCAGGGCATTGTTTTCTTCGTCTCTTTAAATGAGCCGTCTGCTAAGCACTGCTCCAAGCACGTGCGACGAGTCCGCGGTTCGCGACCAGGTGGGTGAAGGATTTCTGGAAGGAGGCCAAGGATGTGCCTTGCCGAGGCCGTTCTTCTGTCCTTGGACCAACCGAGTCGACTGGGTCGGAATGTGTACATGGCTGACCAAGAAGGGTCGTTCGTTTCTTCAGAGAGGTTCGGAATGTGTGGAGTGAGTCACAGTGAGGGTGTCTTTGGTCACAGTGCCCTAGGGATCTCTTCTGTGGAGGTACTTGGATCCTTAGGGGTGAGTCATGGAAAAGCGCACACCGGACTCGTCACGTAGGACGAACCGGACGAGTTTTCCCAACGCAACGAGTCATGGAACGTGTGAATGGCATGGTGTGGAAGGTTTGCTGATGTTCCAGGGAAGAGCCACGAGTCATTGGAAGATCAGATCCTCTGGATGGTCGCATCTGAGCGGCCAAAAGCCCCCCAATGGCATCAAATGGCTGGTTTATGCTGGTTTAGTGGGGATAACCACCGTTTTTTCAGGTGCTAGTTGGCATCTCGGCTCGACCAGTCGGATTCTCACAACTCGTTGGTCCTCTCAGACCACTCCAACAGCTGCGACTGGATGTCCTTGACTGGGGCACACCTTCCACGCTGCGGCACAAAAAAAGGGGTGTGTCAAATACGGGAGACCCCCAAAATCTCGCCCCTGGCTTGGAGTTGATCTCACCCCAATTAAAATCCCTTCTTGCCTGTACTTCCCCTTCTCTTTCGAGCTGAGCGTTCTTTCCAGTCGTCTCAGACAGGTGGCCGAGCGGCGTCCGTCATCCTTCTCATCGTGGTCTTTGGCATCTCGGCCGGGATTGTTTGCACCGACTCGTATAAGTCGAGGAGGAGAATGAAGGATTCGACACCAGTTCCTGAGAATTATAGCGCTGTTTTACCTGGGATGTATGTCTTAAGCGTTGATTTAAGTTGCGGCTTAGGAATTGTTTGGAGCTGTTACACCACAAGACAAGGCAATCGTTCCAAAGGACAATGCTAATTGCGCTCTAAACATAGCTTACTACTGGCAAATGAATCTACAACCTTTTCAATTACATGTTGTTGCTTGTTATGAACTCCACTTCAAGAGCATTTATGTGATCTTTTACTTTTCCTGGTGGGTAGTGTGAGCCCCCTGAGGGTTTGCGGAGGAAGTGGCCATTCCATAGCATACCTTTTGTGAGCCATCCGGGCCATCCGCGCGTAACCTGATGTGAGGCATCTATGGTGTGATTTACTTGCTTGGCTGCAGTGGAGTCATCAGCTTTGCGACAGAACACTTGGGATACACCTTCATGGGCTTCGGGTGCAAGGTGCCTTGGTTTTCACTTGTGGTATATACTTGCCTTTTTGTTATAGTATGTTATACTTGTTGCTGTAATTTGTTGGTTGTTTTCACAACGTGAGTATGTGATTAGACATGCTAATGTGGTACATCGTGGTATTATATATATTATATATTATCTTATAAATATATATATATACATGTGTATATATATATATTCTATATGAGCTCGCCAGATGTAGAGTTGCCTGTACTTGATCTTTGTTTTCCATACACAAACCTAAACCGTTTTCAGCTTAAGCCGTTTTCGGTGCACAGGTGCATGGTTCTTCTTTTCGATGATCGAAGTAGGTGTTGCATACGGACACGGGGATCCCCATCTAGTGAACCCATCAAACACCTCCATGCGCCGCCGGGTTGGGTGGACAGCTTCTTCCGGACCCTTGGGCCAGAAGAGACCGACACCAGGCATGGCGTGGCGTTCCAACCGACCCCCGCAAGGGAGAAGGAACTGATCCGGAAACTCGAGTCCAAAATCCAGAACAGGCCAGGGCTGTCTCCCTTTTTTCACATCCTTACACCACCCGAAACTGACTCTTATATTGAGTTCCTTGCACATGGAACACAAGCAGCACTTTGGACTCCGCAACCGACCCTGTTGGTTTGGCGGTGAAGCCGCCGCTCCCGGCGTTTGGTTCGGGCAGGTGACGTTGAGCATCCTTTTCGCCTCGATCCGGGCCTACCAGACGCATCAGGCCGCGTGGTCGGGACCCCGGTGGAGGCACCGGTGAATCCGGGAAACTCCGGGCGTCGTCTCAAAGGATTCTGGGCCTGACCTTCTGTGCCAGCAACGTCTTTTTTCTTGGCCTGTATGATCCTGTATGTGTGCTTTTTGGGAGTGGGAACACAATCAGGTCTTTTAAACCAACACTGTGTGCCAGCACTTTGGGTTGACGTCATGTATGTATAGATGTTTCAGTGAATTTGATGACTGTGTTCCCTGGTGGGAAGAATCACATGTTTGTGTTGCATCAAGGAGTAAGTCCTATGCACTGTTTTTGTTTCCACACGGTGTTGTCTTGGCATTTGATGCGAATCACCTCAAACAATTTGATATAGTTGGAAACACATATTTGTTGATTAAGCCTCCCTCAGCCTGTCGAGAAATGGTGGTGTGTTATTTGTGTTGCCGATGTAATACAACATGAGATGCAAAGGTTATTCCCAAGATATTTTTCAGGAAACGGTGGATACAAATTTGCACGATCATTTCGGCGCCAGCAGAAACAAACAAAACGTGAGTGACACACATAACATTAATGATGTTGAAAACAACATGGAACTGTTTTGTCAGACCATGTCAAATCGGTACATAGCAGAGTTCAATGGAATGGCATGCATATACGTTGATGGGTTGTTGTTGTTGTTGTTGTTGTTGTTGTTGTTGTTGTTGTTTGTCTTTTTTCAGATATGATGGTTAAAACCCTTACTTGGGATGATTGAACTCACTGACCAATATGTTTCCAAGTGAGTTGAACCGAGGGTTTTAGAGCAGCTTCAGATTGTTCTAGTGTGGGTGTTGATGGACAAAATCTTGGATTTCCAGGCGATTGACGCAGAAGACCACGTAACATCTTGCAATCCACAACGTGATGTGCTGTCATCCAGCAATGTTGATGCCGAGAGGACCTGTACCAGTATTGTGTTTGATGATTGTTGGATGCAGAACTTCCCTGATCTTCTCGTAAAGGACACCCAAAGGACTCCCAAATGACTCTGTGGTACTTGCCCAATATATATATATATATATTCTTTTGGGCCCTTGGGCCTGCGAAATGAATGTTCTTTGCTGGGAAGATCCCTGTAGATCAATCCGATGAGTTGAACCCGAAGCAGCGTTGCGCAGAACACAAAGAGCTGCGCAGTCAGCGGCCTGCGTCCCAGGTCTGACAGCCGGATGGATTCAGTGCACTAAACATCCGGCCTCGTCGGACAGCCGCGCGCACCGCGCCCAGTGGATCGAGAGGACCAATGGCACAGACCCCAAGAGGTTGGTGGTTTTATAGAGCCCCCATCTAAAGGACATCTTGGGGTGCCAGTGCCATGGAACCTCTGAAACCACTGTAATTTACTTGGAAGGTCATGATCCTGGCCTGCTGGCTTCCAAGGAGTTAGGTAGCTGGGCATTTTCTCCGTACGTCTCTTTGAGAGGGGGCAAATTCAAACAAACATGCAGAGGTGCAGTTGCAGGGCGTTCCCTAGCCACGTGCTCGTTTTGTTCAAACAATTTGGAGCGGTTCTGTCCACGTTTGACACAGCCGAAAAAGGGCTTCAATTTTTGTGAGTTCCATTTGGTTTAGGTTTAATAGAGTTTTGGAACTACATTCTGAGGATCTAACGGTACAAACTGATACAAACGCTCCTGGGCAGGTCCTTGCGCGGCTCCTGGGGAAACTCCGGGGTGTCAGCGTGGCCTTTGTGTGGCTTGGCAGAGAACTCGCAGCGTGGTGGGTGAACTGGCTGAGGGAAACCTAGGACTAGTAGAACCTGTTGATGTCCCGTGTTTTAGAGTCCAACCACCCAAAATATGCTTGACCTCATGTATTGTCCGTAAACAGGGGTCAGATATGGTCAGACGGGTTCTAGATAGGGCTTTAAGGTAAGAACTTGAGAATGTCACGAGTCATCTGGATGTGTATATGACCACAATTGACCCCTGGACATATTTCGGGACATCGACCAGTCAACTCATTGGTTGAGGTTCGGGTCCCCCAAAATTCCCAAATACCCGAACCTCGTCTCAGGTCTGGTTTTACGTGTTTGAGTCCTCCGGTGGAAGGCCACCTACGACGTGGAGGTACTCCGGAACCCTTAGCGCAGCCCATTGGTTTGTTATATATGAGTATTTCCGACTAAACCGCTTTTTGGAGGTTAAACCCTTACATAGCAGGGGATCTAAGGAAATGTAGAAGCATTGTTGCGAGTTGTCTTTCATGAGTTGTTTCTTGAGTAAGATCTGTTCGCAAACCACGATGTAGCATGTGTGACTTTGATAACTTGATTCACTGGGAACGTGAATTCCACGTGTTCCTTCTTGTGTGGTTTTGGTCTTAGGATTTAATGTGAACCTGAGGATGGTAAACTGGTGAACCTACTACAATCATCAAACGTTTTATGTTTAGCGGATCCAGTTACAATGATAGTGGTTATCATCTATAGAGGAAAATCCACTTGCTGTACGAGGTATCCAATACTAATTTAACTTGGTATCCAGGACTTGAGGGTAACAAACAGTAGATAAAGGCACAGTTGCTGAATTTCATAGTCCTGAATGATAGGACCCCAAGGTCCTTGAAGAAAGAAATACATGTACGTAGATTTAGCGCTAAATTCAATTTGCAGACGTTGGGGTCAAATCTTACGCTCACCAAAAAACGCTCGCCGCCATTCACTTGCCCTAGCAGTGGTTCCATTGACCACAAAACCACTCACCAAATTCACTTCTACCGTTCACTCAGTGATACTGAAGGCCGCTCTTGCGGTGATTTTCACCCATGCCACCCCCGCTGAGACAGATTCCTTAACAGTTCAGAGGCAGATTGCTGATTTTTCCGAGTTCACTTCACAAAACCAAGTGCGTTCTGAGCTTCTGCACGGGTGTTTCTTTGCGTTCGCACTCGCACTCCAGGTCCTTGCTGAGGGGCACATTCGACCATGTGGTGCCGTGTACTGTGACCAGTGAGGGGCAATGCTATCTACCCGAACCTTGGCAGTTTTTGTTCCTCGGACGGCCACCGACCGCCATCGGACGGCATTGCAGCCGATATAATTGGACCCCGAAAATCAACCACCCCAAGTGATTGGTATGCGTATGCCATACACGGAGTGTTTGGGTATTCTATACTTGAATTGGCTTGTTTTGGGATTGAAGAACACTTGCATTGGTTTTCCAACCGACACCTAGGGCCTTATATGGCTGCGCAGGGATAGTTGCTGATTTTCTGTTCCTCAAGTAAGTTCAAGTCAAGATTCTGCATCACGACAGATTTTCTAGCGACATCCCAGTGTAGCCATTTGGAGGCAAGGACCAGGATTCCATGGGCGACAGGTAGAGCATTTGGCCCATCAGTGGTGCCTGTACAGCGGTTTCAGAGTAGATGGCACTGGCACCCCTACATGTCTTTTAGATGGGGATCCATATAAGCAACCTTTTGGAAATGGCACCATCTACTCTCCATCCACTAGTGACGATCATTGACTTTTTTCCCCGGGAGATCCGTGTTCACGATACATGCATGTTGTTGTGTGTTTTCTTTTTTTTTACACTGGCTTGTAGGCTACTTACTGGTTAGTCTCATGCCGCCGCCAAAAGGAACCAAAAAACGGTTTCACGGCCAAATGACACGAAGATCGGCGGGTCACACGGCAGATGTCCCGCTTGGTAGGTTACCAATGGTCAGGGACACAGCGATGTTTTGCTAGCACTTTCGAAGTCCTCATCATGGAAGAGGATTGAGTTTCCCACCACATTTTTGGTGCACTCTTCCACCAAACCATGGCTGGCAGTTCCATTTTAGGACTATTGCTATTAATTACTAGTATACTCATGTATACTCCCTTTGGGGGTGGTTGAATCACCAACAGGTGACCAAAAGGCAAACACATCGAACATCGAAATCCTGCCATGTCCCTCCCCGAACCCGTTCGCCGGTCACGGACGACTCGGTCCACCCAGGAGCGATCCAGTCGCGAGTTCCATGAGCTCGAGCGATTTCTCAATCAGATGCCTGGCAGCGAAGAGTATGTGTTTCTCCGTCCTCCGCGACCGATCTGTTGGCCTACGCGGAGTCGACACCAGGCATCAAGACCAGGGTCGTCACTGCAACAAAAAAACATGCATATATATGACCCTTGCCATTTCCTCTATAGAATGAGGGGGGTCAACACTCCCTGAAAGACACGGGCCATTCATGTTTGGAGATGTTTGGTCTTTTCGGCACCTCCGCAGGGTCCGCTTGGACGACCCCACAGACCGAGAGCGGAATCATGTCGGGGGAAGTCAGGGGTTCTTGCCCGGAGGTGAGAGTCCACAGGGATCTATATATTGCTCGTCCACAGGTGATGATGACAAGACCCCTGTTCCCAGCGCGCGAAAGGCTTTGGGGCATATACCCTACGGCTCCAACCACCTCCTGAGAAGATGGTTGGGGTGGATTTGGGAGGTCTAACCACCTTCTGAGGAGATGGTTGGAGCCCTAGGGATAAATAACACATCCGCTCAATCAGTCACCCCATGGGAAGTCCGAATACATGGCGCCACATCCCTTTGAAAAAACACCCCTAGAGTGAGGTAAACATGCCAGTTCCATGGAGTGTTGTTTCAGTTAGTTTGGTTTCTGGGACATGGTTTCACTTTGGTCCCTCCCCAGATTAAAACGATGCTTCATGAAGTTCATGTCGCCTCAAACTGTTTGGTTTGAATCCCCGTTCCTGTCGCTTCAACGGCCGTTGGAACGCTTCGCGTGGCGCCGTCGGGGATCTGAAGGCGCCATTCGTGGGTCGTGGCCCCTCAACCGCCTTTGTTGTACCTGTCCATTGGTTCACGCGAAGAACTGGCCTCAACATCATGTCAGATCATGTACACTCTGACGAACACATCACATGGAAGTGGAAGGCATGGCCTCTTGGAAGACTACCTTTCCTCTACAAACCAGTGGGTGACCTCCACGTAACCATCGTGATGTGAGTCAGTCGGAGTGTAAGACCAACGACACACGTCGTGCCACGTCCACCAGTATGGCATAGGTGGGGTTTCCCCATTACGGGAAGAGACAACGACAGTCAATGCACATGCGTCATGCAGAGTTCAGTCATCTTTGCAGAAGTCCGGTTTTGCTTCCATCCACCGCAAAGGATGAGCAGCAATTATCAATATAGATGATGATGGACAAGCCTTCATACCAGGATCATCCAAAGACTACCCAGCCCTACTTATAGGTCTCCAGACAGGGCACCCATTGGACGTCCTAGGTATGTGTTTCAGCTTAGGTTTGTCTCCCCCACAAAGACTGTGGGGGGTGTCATGTTGGAGTGTCTTTGTTTGCGCATAAAAATGTTTTTTTTTTTGTAACGAAGACAATGACACAACGACACCAAGACAATGACAAGACAACGCATAGGCCCATAGGCTCGCTCAAACACCTTCCCATACACTCGTACACAATGGCCCTGACATGTATGAAGCGCGTGCTAGTCTGAAATTAACTGTGCCATGATGCCATCCATGGTGCCATGTTTGCCAGTTTCACACAGCGTGACATGCATGCAGTGCACACACATGCATACTACACACGTTGCATGTAGTCAAAACACCGAAAACACTGTAAAATAAGGAATAATAACATGATAACATCAAAAGTGGAAAATATTGAGGGTGCTTTAGGTAACCCCATAACGACACACCCATGCCGGTTGAGGCATTGATCTTGATGTTCTATCCCAAATACTCCATATTTGGAACAATCTATTTCTACACATGGGCCTTTGGAAAGCATCCCAAGGTATGCCATGCATGGAGTGTATGGCCATTGGTGTTTCCAACTTCTATTTGGATAGCTCTTTTTCCAGGGTATCACAGATCTGTCGTGGATATGTGAGGGAAAAGCTGCTGCACGACCAGTGGATGTGCCACCTATAGGGAGCAAGTCTACCACCAGGGGCCCTCCAAGAAGGCTGTCTATCAATAGCCTCTTACAGATGATTTGAGATGTCCATCAACCACCCCGACCCTAGGCCCTAGGTCCTCAAAGCATCGCAGATTTGTTGGATATTTCCCAGATTTCTTCAACTGTACCTCGGCTGTTCCCTCGCACTCGGCTGGGTTTTTCATGTAAGTCTCCATGGATCTCCATGGCACCATTCGATTCACTGTTCGCCTCACCGTGTCAAGTTGTTTCGTCTCGTCTCACCTCGTTGGTTCGCTCCATGTTCTCAAAGCCCATGGGATTTTCTCCCCAATGTATCCAGCAACTACTGGTGGGTGACGACCGTGGCGGCGAGCGCCTGTGGAGCCGTCGAGCGGCGCCGAGGACCGTGGAGGTCGCCAGCTTTAATGACCTGCTGCGCCATGACGAGCAGGGGCGTGGCTTGGCGGGAGGTCGCTTGAAAACATATTGAAACCGGGTTCGATTGATCAATTGATACGGTAGAAACATGGCAATCACCGATTGGATGGTGGTTTTCTAGAATGTTTCAGAGATTTGTATGTTCAACCTCCTTTATTTGATGATTGAACCGACTTAAGCTTTCTCAAGTGAGTTGTAATTTCCAACCAGCCAAGACATGGAAAACCAATGGGATGCTGGAGCGGCCATGGATGTTGGAAGGGCTCTCTTCATCCTTCGTCATCGTATATCATGCTTTTCCGAATCCGCCGTACTTTGAGAAGGTGGCAGATATTGAACAGGGTGGGGTGTCCATGAATAATTACGGTCTTTATATAGCTAGTATATGTCAACAGAAAGACCGGTGACACTGTCCCTAGTATTGATATGCTGACATGCTCAGGAGGTGGTTGAAGCCCCAAGCCCGCGTCCCCTGCAGGGCAGTGCCTACGCATGCGCACAGCAGCGAAACCACACATTCGATGTCGGATGTTGCTTCTGCCTTGGAAAACGGATGAGCGCCAAAAGAGCGTCACACTTTGGGTGACGGACCGTAGACTCGGCTACTTGAAGGACGGACCGAACGGCCGTAGAGGGCAGTCTAAGTATGTCTAAGTGGGTTTTACCACCAGTTTGGTAAACGGAATGCGTTCGTTTCATGCAGATGTACTGTTAGATTCTATGACGTCTGAGGTTTTAAGGACTATGTGAAGAACCTGCTCCGCCAAAACGATGTGTCGTTGAGCGATTCAGCGACCATGCTCAGCGGACCCGTGGAACAGCAGCATTAAGGGAAGTGATGGGTGGCGCGAGGCCAGGAATTCCTGCCTCAAACATGGACTTTGTTCCTGGCCCCGGGAAAGGAAGACCGTGTTTCCTTTAGGAACAGACTGTATCTTCCAGGGAGGATATACTCCAGGATACTCCAGACCCAGTGAAGATCTCCCAACTCCAGAGCGGTGTGGTTGAATCGGCTGCCGTCGCGGTCTGATAGGACCGTTCGTCTGGGGAGACGCCATGTTTTCTGCGATTGTACTGACCTACATAGATGGGTGCAAGACCGCCAAGCAATGGGTATATAGATGTATAACTAGATGTATATAGACTGGTCTATTTCCCTTCTTCCAGGGGTGTAGAACTGCGAGGTCTCCCCATTTTTATTACACACCCCTTGGCCATATCCTCGCTTCAACTGTGCAGTTGGTTTATGAAGAAAAAACACGGAAAACACTGGACATGATGGAGAGGTGGTCTATTCTGCCTTCGGCTTCGGAGTCTCAGATCCCCGATTTGGGTCCCCGACCAGGCCCTCGAACTCGAGGCAGTCAATTCGAGAGGAATGACTTGGAGATGTTCAGCCATAGCCGAATGCAAGAATCCAACACGAACCTACCATGGGCAGTAGGACATCAGGAGGCTAGAGACCCATTCTAGAGGCACTCCTTGAGCCCTGAGAAGGTCGTTGGAGCCCGTCACTGATGAGATTTGCTAGACCACAAATCATTTGCAAGCCTGGGTTGTCGAAACCGGCCGGCTCAATCCATTTGGGCTTTGGTCAAAATCCGGTACCTCCATACAGACATTGTAGTTTGCTCCTGATCAAGGACGCTTCGTTCTTCTTTGAACGAACCATCGACAGACGCAAAACCGCTCACCATCAGCTCGCCATGGCGCGAATGGTTAGCGATGGGGCAAGGCCAACAAACTTAGTTTTGACATCCCCCTTATTATTTCCCCCAGGAGATGGTTGGAGCCATGTTAAGTCCACAGGTTTACCTTGGAGCCATCTAAGGGGGATGTGTTGACCAATTTTGACCACAGGAAGATGAATGCTGCAGGAGTTCCATGGGCTGGAACTGGGTGCCATTCTCCACAACAGTTCAACAGCAGATCCACTTAGGCTACATACCATGGCCACCATGGAACTCCTGAAACCCATTCACTTTGGTCAAAAGATGTCAGCATAGCTGCCATGCGCCAGTCCTCAGTGCCATGATAGGCAGGACCGAAGGCGGAAGGCCACGCTCCAAGAAGAAGGTCCCATGCTCAGGTGGCTCATGCCATTCACCTACGTTTGCCCAACCAAGACGACCAGCCTTTCAGTGTCAGGGCAGCTCAGATGTCCTGTTGGTTGGTGAGAGAAAATGATCAGAATCACAGGCAAGGCCCAGGGGTCTGATAGGACAACTCCGAAACGAAGGCCCAGGGGTCTGATGGGTACAGTAGACTGGTCTATTTATCTTCTTCCAGATTGGGTCGTTGCCTGGGGGGTCTCCCTATTTGAGCTACACACCCTTACATCAATCGTAGTTACTATCCCACAGCATCCCAAGTCCCAGGTATGCTTCACCAGAGACACATCGCCCATATATGAAGACCATGAAGCTTTCATTGATTCATTCATTCATGAGATGTCATTTATGAGGTCATGCAGAACCCGTTCTTCTCTAAACTTGCGTTGCAGATGGACCCGCAACGAGATGGACCGGGGCCGGTCTGCAGACACGGCCACAGAACTCTGAAGAGAATGCAAGGCAGCCCTCTGTTTCACTCACCCGTCCAAAAAGTGGGCCCAAACTGACGCTACAAAAGGATATATAGAAAGAGTAATGCAGAGTTAGACAGAGGAAAGGGTGCAATGGTCTTAGCAAAAATAAACACACTGATCCTGGGTGTGTGCTCTGCCGACATGTCCCGAGTCACTTGGATCTTCAGCTATACCCAGACGCTCCGTTCACAGCCCGACTGGTCCCACCCAGTCTGGACAAAGGGTCCGAAGGTATCCATAGGATTTGGACTTGCGTTTAGACACAGCTGTGAGGGAAACACGATCGCAAATTCTTGTTCGAACTGTCCGACCGTCTGAGCCCGATTTTAGGCGATGGGTCGCATAAGGCGACGCATCATCCATGGGTACCAGTGGAGGAGTCGATCGAGCAAGATATGCTGACATGATTTAGGCTCAAGCTTTGAACTACAAGAATGCCAGTTATGGGTCAAAACCAATGCCCCTTGGCCCCCGGAATCCAAGCTTCAACAACTGTTGTCCAGACATAATACCCTTCATGGAAGTCGTCCAGCAGGAAGGAACTCGCATGTTAAAGAGATGTGTAAAAGTTGCTGAAAGCACCAGCAAGGAATTCATCGTCATCATCATCATCGATATTGTTTTTACTTTATTATGCTTCATGTTATTATTGTTTTTTTCTTATTGTGCTTCTTCTTCAAACAAAAAATACAACGACAACACCAACAACAAGGCACAAACAAACACTGCAGCCCCGTTACAACATATCTTGATCCTTTGTCTCTACAAGGGGGTGGAAACAAAATCTGCAGCCCCGTCGTTGTTTTTTTGACCCCCCCCCCCCGAAAACAACCAGCCAACATGTACTTCTACCAGTAGTGGTAGTGCTTGTACTAGTGCTAGTACTAGTAGTAGTCGTTGTTGTTGTGGTCGTAGGAGTAGTAGTAGTACCTAGCAAACCATAAGTATGCAGAATTAGTGTCATTTTGGGAAAAACAATGTTTTTCAAAACGATTACGTTTTTCCAATGTTACAGACTAAATATTACACTTTTGCATATTTGGCTACATGGGATGACATGTTGGCAAGATGATGGGGGGGAATGTGGATACAAAGATACAAAGGCTGTCTAGCCACCTGGCTCAACAGAAGCCAGCCGGTTTGGGAAGAAGCAGCCAGCGGCAAGAGGTGCCACCCCCTGTCCCGCGCTTTTTTGCACGCAGGCAGTTGAGTCACTTGTGTCTTCAAAAGCGGCCGCTTGAAAAATAATGTTCTTTGACCGAAGGTGTATAGATCTCAAAGGTGGGAGTAGGTGGACATGGAAAAAAGCATGGCGGCTATCATGAGCAAGATTTCTGCGGACTCAATTACTGTGATCAAGGATGAAGGCCAGGATCTTGGCATTGGTTTCACTGTTGGATTCCAAATTGTGTTTGATATACTGTTTATATGTAGCAAGCCTGCTGGACTCCTTGCCTCCACCAAAGGCCTTTTCGATCTCTCAGATGCATGTTGGGATCTATGTGTCGAGGCTTTATTTTCAAGCAAGGCCGCAACTTGTCTGCATCAGCTGCTGGATGGTGGCAAGACATTAATTTACCACAAAAGGAATTAGACGGCTTTATGTCAGGATCTTCCACCGCCTGATGAAGTACTTAAGACCATTGTCGCCAATATACATGCTGGGGGTATTTGTGCGGAATTGGTGAAAGAGGACCGCTAAATCCTATAGTAGCTCTCATTGTGCCACTGGGCAGTCTTTGGCCCATCCACATCCCATCCACCAGGACAGAGATGCCTCGAAGCAGAAGGCTACCCCGGCAGAGGAGATTTTTGCATGCACACAGTGCTTTTAGTGACCCTATATATATCCTGTAGGGCCAACTAACGGCTTCAATAACATGTGACCCTTGTCAAGGAAAGGCCAGAACGACCTGGTGGACCCTGCTTGAGTGAAGCAATGCCCGGGAATTTTCAATTCGATGATGAGGTAGACATCTTTTCGTATTTGTCTGCCTTGGACGGGAGGTGCTTGCAAGCAACTTGTTTAGACCTTCATTCCCTAGCTGAGGCCAAGGGAAGAATCAAGATCCCCTTGGTAGAGTCTGATTTGGAAACCGCTTTGTTTTATCGGCTGTGGGGGCCATATCATGGATATTGAGGTCACTAGCTTGCAGTGAAAAGAGTACTTGCATGCAAGGGAGTGTGGGTATATGTTGAACAGGTTGCCACAAGCCAGCCCAATCAAAACACAATCCCTGGTACCATCTGGTACCATCTGATACCCTGATTGGAGCTGTGCCTCGTGCGCAGGTCCTGTCATGGGTGCCTAGCGCTTCATGAACTATGAAGGCTTGATTCCGATTCTGTGGAGTGAGAAGGTTGAAGGGAAAGATATATACTTAGATCGAAACAGATTCATGCACGGGCCTTGTATGAACCCAAACAGCTCTCCCTGAATTATAGATCAAACCTGCAGCACTCATTGGGGGCTCAGGATTGTGTTAGCACCAGGCCAGGCTATCAACAGTCCACGCAACCCACCATGGCAGACCCATTTGCTGCTGCGCCTCCTCTGCTCGATGATGATGCTGAAGCTGATGATGGGGCTCCATGGCCAACCTGTCACCAGCTGGCATCGCTTTGGGAGGAAAACCATGTAGTGAGGAAGAACTTGAGGCTCACCGGAAAGATGATCGTGTGGCCTAAGGTGGAGCTGACTGGCGTTGCCACTTTGCAGGCTTTGAGTGCCAACAGAATTCCAATTGCTGATGCAATCACCGTTTGGGGGAGCCATCACAATCAGGCTGCGAAGCCGCCCCCAATTGAATGGCTGAAGCAAGAGGCCTGGGTTAATCTTCGCTGGGGAACCATGCTAAAGGTTTGAATTCTAGAATCGGTTCTTTAATTATTTGGGATAAGCCAAGGGTTGTTGAAGCACAGGTAAAGCAATTATATGTGCTGCTCAACCATGAGCCGAAGCCCATCAACATCCATGTGGACGCCTGGGGGATGAAGCGCTTCATTTCATTGGCCCTAAGAAGATGGAAGTCGCCCATCAACAACTTTAGGGTTTCTTGATGATATCCCAGTACTATTGTCCTAGTGGTATGAGCAGTTGGCCCAAATCTTTTTGAGGCGGGTATGGGATGCTGTCCTCAATGGGAAATTAAGGACCCGCTGTTGCACGATTTGATGGATCTCATGACGGAGCATTGGGGGCACACTTTGAACCAGACTAAGCCAGTGGCTGCTCCGCCTGTGGTTGATGGTGAGCCATCAGTGGCTTCTGATGGTAGTGGTGAGCCACCAGTGGCTCCTGATGGTGGTGGTGAGCCAGCAGTGGTTCATGATGAAGCTGCTGCCAGGGCAAGTTTGGAAGCAGAGCGACAAGCCATCTTGAAACTTGATAGCGTTCATGCACCATCATGTATAGTGTGTTCATTTGTTCCAGGGTGTTGTTCTTTTTAACAAAATTGGGTCAAGTGTAACACCCGCAGTGTTTTGTGGCCACATCTCCAACTTACAAAGGACACGCTTGCAAGCTATCAAAGATGCTCGCAGCATCAGCAAAGGCCTACAGCATCCACGGCCACCTCCCCCCCGTGCCTTCAGTGCCAGCAGGAGTATAGGGTCTGGTCCTTTGGCAAAAGCACGAACCCGGTATGCACCCTCATTCAAAAAAATGTTTCAACCAAGAAGGTGTTTACTCGGTATCCATTTGGAAAACCACATGAACTGGCAATTTTCCTCTTGGGTTGGCCAAGGACGGGGCCATGATGCAAGAAATGCGGGCCCCAAATCGGTGTTCATCTGGGCCTGCATTTGATTTCGCATTTCTTGCATCATGGCCCCGTCCTTGGCCAACCCAAGAGGAAAATTGCCAACATGAACATTGTTTTTGGCAACCGTCTTCACGCAGGAGTCAATCCCGATGTGATGGATACGATGCCCTTTGATTTCGCAGCAGTGGAGCTCCCCCAAGAACCTGTTCATGAGACTGGCCCTGAAAGCTATGAGGAGATTTTGAGGGCACGCACACTGCGTCTGGGAGAGGTTTCACCACCGCCCAAAAGTCCTCCTTCTGAAGAGCTGACCGCGCCAGTCCCTGCAGCCAGCGCTGGAGGTGTGGAGTTGGGCACTGGTGAGAAGCTTGCTGGTGATGAGGCTGAGATGCCTCCTGAGGATGTCATTCCCAACCCTGACTTGTTGGGCGCCGATGGCTACGGTGATGAGGAGGTTGAGCTGCCTCGTGATAGTGCCATTGAACCTGAACAACAAGTCCAATGTCCTGGGGGTGGAAAGGGTTCCTCGCCTAAGAAGGGTGGACCTACCGAGATTTTCAATCCCATGGACTTCAAGGACATGGTTTGATCCCACCACAAGATGCATTATTCCAACACACTTTCAACTATGGAAGGGTTGTATAATTGGGGTTGTATACTTGGTTTTAATATGAACCATCGCGGACCTTGATAGGAGCCGGTGTCTCGCGTGAAGCAGTTCGCTGGGATCCCCGAGGGAGATGGCGACCATGACTTGGCTGAGCCCAGGGGCAGGGGCCGGGGTAGGCCAAAAGCCAAGGCTAAGGCCAAGGCTAGAGCTAAGGCTGGAGCTAAGGCTAGAGCTAAGGCTAAAGCTAAGGCTGCTAAGGGTAAGCAAGAGAAACCAAAGGCAAAAGCCAAGGCTAAAGCGGCGGCTGGCAAAGCAAAGGCAAAAGCTACCAGGGTCAGGACCGTTGGTGACCAGAGTGATGTTGAACTCGCCACCCCCAAGCGAAAAGCTCCCAAAGGTGATGTGGAGGAGGGAAGTAGGTCAAAGAAAAGGCAGCCTAAGGCAGCAAAGAACCAGAAGGACAAAGACTCTGAGCCCCGGAAGCGGGCCTCGAAGGGTGAGGCTGTGAGCTTTGCCCGTCGAAATCCACCTGGCAATCCACGTGGAAAGGCAGAGTGGGATGCCATCAAGTCCGTGTTTGGCGAGCGTTTGTCGCATCTTCACCCCAGATCCAAGCATGAGGACATATCATGTCAAACATGGTTCCAACCAAGTTTGGTATAGTATACGTTTAATTTGAACTTGCCACCAATACTGCCTTAGCCACTGATGTTCTGAAGGACCTTTTCTGGAAGTATTGCAAAGTCACCAACAAGGACAAGATCAAAGCAGCTTCTGATGGTTCTTTGGGAGACGCAGTGCATAGTTTGGCCGATGGCTACTTCACCACCCTCCAGCCCAGCAGCTGATCTGCCAACTTTTGAGGGGAAGGTCTGCTAGCTGCTTTCTTAGGAGCGGTTGGCCATGACCTGGGGTCTATAGATTTGTATCTACTCTTGGGAAGTTTGATACTCCGAATCTTGTTTCATGAGCAGTGCAGGGACTAACCTTGCATTCGCACATCTTCATTGCCTGGTGAAGTCCAAATTGACAAAGCATTGGCGTGCAAAACGGGAAAACAGTGTGGCCGTGTGAAGTGTCCCATGAGGATCCACCTATGTGGCCGCAATGAGGTGTCCCATTATTTGGGGAGAGGGGTATCAAAAGGTGAAACCATCTCAAGTTTTCAGTCTCCCAAGTGGCCTCAACGGACTTTGGTCCCTTTGTACTGAGAAGTCCGTAAATTCACCTCTGCAGGTCCGACGTGGTCAAGCCTTTCTGGCCTCGCATGGAGCCCTGGACCATGCTGATTGCCGCGCCAGCCTGTTTTGACACAGCAGTGCACACGTGAAGGGTCAGTCGCTATACCATCACAATTTCGCAGCTGGGTTGGTGTTCGAGCGTTTAGCATCCTTCAGCTATATAACAATGGTAGCGTCCCGCCATGAATCCCTTGTTCGAAAACTATTGTTCCTACCGGGTGTGCCCAAGGACTGATTGAGTGAGATTCTTTTGCTTTGCAATGGCCATCAACAAACTCAACCTTTTTTCAGTATTCAAACCGTGAGGAATTCATCGCGATTGTCATCATGGTCGCATCCATGGACTTGGGCTCCAGGGATCTATCAGGAGTTCCTAGAGATTTTCTCGGGGCAAGCTCGGACGGCGAGGTTGGCAGAGTGGAGTGGCTACAGGTCAAAAGCTGTAGACTATTTGTATTCCCAAAGTCTGGATATGCTCAAACCTTCTGGCTTTATGTTTCTTGTCTTGATTGTTCACGGAAGTCTGGACATTTTTGAGTTTCTGTGAATAATGAAACTGGTATGGCTCCCTGCTGCTGCCCTTTTATCTAAGTTTATGCATTGTCCTCATCCTCTTTGGCAATGAGGAGATGACATCGCTAGTTGCCACGGAGTGTTCATCGTTTATCCATATAAACTCAGGAACATCAAAACGGTCACATGCGATGCCAGATGGTGATCCAGAGGTCCCATCAGTTTGGAGATCAAATGGGTTAGCTGCCCGAAGCTGTTTGCTTCTTCTATTGCTAACCTTGCTTGGCCAAACATTCCTGCTTGAACAGCCAGGCTCCAGCGTTTTGATGAAAACGAAAAGGATGCAATGGCTGTGTGAAGTGCTGGGTCAGTGTGGCATCTACATTTACAAGCAAGCTTTTTGGATGTCTTGCTTTGGACACCCAAACCCAAAGCGGACAGTTCTTTGGTCTAACAACTTGGCAGTCCGTGTTTTTACTACTCCAAAGGTGGCTGTGTCAAAGTGCAAGGATCCGCCCACTGCTGAACGATACGTTTCTTCCACTGGCAAAGTTGGTTACAAGGGGAGCAAGCACTTGAAAGCCACAGAGCTACTAGATTGCAAATAGACAACTGCTATCTACAGTAGACATCTATAGTATTTTTTGGTGGAGCATCAAACTAAGGCACTACCCAATGAAGTTCGCAGCCAAAGTGGTGGAAACCCTTCCATCATTTGCTTATTTCGCCAGGGAACTGAAACCGGTTCCAGAGGCCAGACCTCCCCTGGTTTCAAAGCAACCCAGCCCTCTCACACTGAACCTTGCCTGGTTTTGAAGCGAACGCCGTGCAGGTGGGAGGCCTGTTGAACATGCGCTTCAAGGAGAAACCCTGGAAGTCAGGAGAGTGGCCTGAGGCGATGTTGCAGTCCACTATGCTGTATTTGCGTAGATCCAAGTATGTCAAGCTACCTTTGGAGTTCAAAGGGCTCATCCCCCGAAATGTGGAGGAGGCGACCCGGGTTCAGGGCTCCATGGATATGTAATATCTTGAGGAGCTTCAATTCAATTTCCCAAATTCAGAGATTTGCAATTGAAAGTGGCCTGGACAGGTCATGGAGTGAAATTTGATGGAAAAAACAATAGCGGAAATACCCGGAGAAATGGCGGAAATCGGCGGAATTATAGCGGAAATTGCCGGAATGGAATCTAGACCAAACTTGTGAGGTCTGAACACTGTTTTGTAGACATGCATTTGTGTCCACCTAGTGGCTCAAACTAAATGATTTCTCAAAGCTTCCTATCAAGCTCTTCTACTTTGGGAGAGGGCCTGGATGTCATGTCCGGTCATGCTGATGAGCTGGTGGAATCCAACTTTGCGTTGGATTCTGAAGAGCAAGAACTTCGAGCTCGTTTGAAGGCTCCCGGACTGAATCACGCACAACTATAGAATACAAAACAGTCTTCAAGTGCAGGCTTTTGCAAAAAGTTTATTCAAGGATCTTGTGAGGGGCCAATTGTCCACTTTGGTCAGCGGAAGCCCCCTTTTCGTTGAGACTGTTGGGACCCACATGACCACCGATCAATCATTTCCAATTGCAGGCCGTCGACCAGAAGCTCGACCAGCCCAGCTGCGCCTCAACGCAGCCACAGCCCTTGGCTCTGGCAGCCGATGGAAAGATGCCTCCAAAGGCCAGCATGGATGGGACATACACGTTCCGTGCAATAAGGATCTTTATCACGCTCATGGTTCATGTATGAAGGCTCCAATGCCTATAAAACCGGTCATGCCCTGTAGGGTTTTCAGTGGTCCTTCCATTTGTGGATCAGTGGTGTTCACTTCCCTGTAACAAATCGGATCTCTCTAGTGTTTTATTGTAAACGATCTCATTGCACTATGCTTCAGGAAGTTTCGGAATCGCATCCACCTGACCTCGCGCACCAGAAGACCTTGCAATACACGAACACTGAGGCTGGCTGGTGAGTTGGGAATTTGGTGTATATAAATCTCTGATGATGTCATTCTTGGGGTAGGTCTTGACAATTCCAGATACACCTCGCCTGGCACTAAGAAGCAATAGGTGACAAGACACGCATGCCCAGACTTGTTTGGGATCCCCCTAGGCGGTGAAGAGTGGCCAGATCGCCAGCCCACCCATTCTTTCACACCTGCAGAGCGAGAGCCTGTTGAGAAGACCAGTGACAATCCTGGAGAAGAGCTTGGTGCTCTTAGATCCCCTGCACAACTGTCGACAGAAGCTGCCCTCACTCCGGTAATGCCTAGGAAGTTGGAGCCAGACTTCATGCCACCACCTCTGGTGCCTGAAGTCAGTGCCGGGGCTTTGGATCGTAGGCTCCGTCGAGTCTTGCAACCGGATTCCAAAGGGCAACACAAGGTGTGCCAGGAGATCCGGCAGATGTGGGAGGAAGGCAAAAAGCAAAAGGTGTTCAAGATGTTTGCAGAATGCAACAACAATGACCCAACTCTGTTTACCAAGACGTATTCGATCAAGAAGGATCAACAAAGGGAGTTTGAACTTGGAGTGTTTTTCACATTCCAAACAGAAGAAGAACTGTCGGACAAACCGGAGAAACTCTGTTGCAAATAGCCAATGTCTTTTTCATTGCCAAAATAAACTCATGTCTGTCTCGTTGGAAGTCCATGCTTGGGAACATCATGAGATTTGGGTCGCGCTGGTTGAGGAAAGAACGCAATAACATCATAGCCAGGGCAAAAGCGAATCCAAAGAAGTACATGAGGCATCCTCTCTTGGTTTGACTTTTTTCAGCCAGTGTGGACATTTCTCAGCCAATGTGGCTTCCTGGATTCTGCACAGGTGGAATGCCCAGAAAGACGCCTGGACCTTCTATGTGGAGACTGAAGTGAAGGGGCACAGCAAGCCCCTTGTCATGTGGATGTGCAGTGTGTGTTTGTGCATGCGTTTCAACGCCATCAAAAACCAAACCAACTCATGGTGCATGCAACCTGTAGACTTCTTTAGCTAAGGGACCGTGTCACAGCATCATTTTCGGAGTCCCAAGAATTTGAGACTCAAGAGCAGGGAATAAACATGGACTTTAACATGGAGGATCCCCTAGGAGGCCTGGTATGCGTATGCACTGGGTTTCCTGCTATCTTGTCAACACGATATCCGTCGGATGGCGCCTTCCAAGCCAGCCAGGAGATCCAGGTGCCTCCACCGCGGCTGACGGAGAGCGTCCACCACCAGAGTCAGTTGTGGAAACCCTCAAGCTTTTGAAGAGGCTAGGATACCCTGAATCCCAAGAGTCCTACAAGTCAAATTCTTTGCTCAGCAAAATCAACACTGCCCTAACCAAACGGATGCACCTTTTGGAGTTGACAAAACAACAGTTGTTGCAGCCAGCGACGAAAGATTCCAAGTTGACAGAGAAGAAGCTCGTTTAATTGGTTGTTTTGGAACATGTTGAGCTGTCGAGTTGAACCTAGCATCATGGAGCTTTCAATCCCAATCTTGCCCATTCTAAGGATTGTTGCAAAGCTGAACACATGTTACAGCGAGCTCGATGATGTGAGCGAGAAGATCTCTGAAGCGAACTCTGCAGGAATTGTGGATGGCTTTTCTCCAGAGTCTGGGTCTCAGAGTCTGCAAAACACTGGGCAACCAATTCTTGTATCTAACTTTGAACCAGCAATCCAGATTTCTATTATTGTTTTGAAGATCTGTGGTGTGAGGAAGGAGGCTGAGATTAAGATATTGGCGGAGAGGGGCAGAACTGCGCGCCAGCCTTGGCTCTGCTTTTTGGTCAAAAACTGCCAGTGCCCTAATATAGACTATATTTTCTTAACCCCCTAAGGCTATTGGAGGCTTATCACCTGGAGCAGAGGTCCAGGACCGATGTTGACCTTGCATTCTGGGCAACCAAAGGAAATTTATGTTGAGGCTTGAGACTTGAGACCATCCAATTTGTTCCTTTTGAATCCTCTTTGTATTCCTCGATGTCCAAGTCAAAGTGATTGGGCCCAATATAATCTGAGCTGTGCTTGTGTGTGCGCAGGACAGTGATTCCGAAAGCACAGCCGGCTGCGAAGTCTCACCCAAGAGCACCCAATGCCAAGCAAGCAGCAAAAGCAGCTGCTAAGGCAGAGGCATCTGCTAAAGCTAAGGCAGAGGCTAAGGCAGAGCCTAAGGCTACTCCCAAGAAGAGCCCTGCACCGAAAGAGGCTCCCAAAGGTGCCCCAAAGAGGCAGAAAAAGTAGAAGCTGAAAGCAGCAAGTTTGGCGCTGCATTTTTTGACTTTGGATCTGCAACCGCGTTGGTGTGGCAGGAAAAGAGCATTTTTCTGCTTGTCACTAACTTGATGCAGGCCTTTTGCCACAAGTATCGGCAGCCCCAACTTTTCATTCGCACTCCCTCAATGAATCAGTTTGCACTGTCTGCCCAACACACATGCCAGGTGAAAGCTCATGCAAAAGAGAAACGTTGGAGCTGTTGGCTGATCAAATAGCTGATGGTGTCAGGAACTTGAGGGGTATCCAGTATACTTGAATCAAACGCTGTCAAACCACCAACTGGAAAGGTCTGTGCAGAGTTGTTTTTCATGTACACGGACCGCATGCAAAGGTGAAAAGAAAACATGGTCACATATTAGCCACGGCCCCACAGCTGGCCCAGGCCCCTGCTTGCCGACTGGGGTCCGTGGCCCGAGCAGCAGTGGCCGATGGTGCGTACGTTCAAAGCCTGCAGGATGCTAGCAAAGTCCATCCAGCTCACGGTGAAAGGGATGCCCACAGAATTTTTCAGAAGTATTGGCTATCCTTGAGGGTTCCTATCTCAGATTTGATGGTGGGCCCCTTTGACGGTGGAGATCTGGTTTCAATACCCCATTACAAGGCAAGGCACTTGAAAGCGAGTCATGGTTGTTTGTTCTTTTTGTCAGGGGAAAGTCAAATTGAGTTCAGTAGCTCATCAACTGGTTTTGATCTTTCTCTTCCAGCCCAGCTGCCTGCCCATCAGGTTCAAGACATGGTCAAGTACTTGCTGCAGAAGCACCCAGAGAATTTGCTGGGTGGAGAATGTCTTGTGGAAGGCCCTCGCAGGTGCCAAGAGTTTTGGGATATGTTCGAGGCATACCAGCCGAACCATGCTGTCTACATACATCACAAAGACCATTCCCGAGTGATACCAGTTTGTGTCCATGGGGACAAAGGACGGACTCTCAAAAAAAGTCCTGTTGCGTGCTACTCGTGGGAAGCTGTTTGGGGACTTCCAGCACATCTTCGCAATTCACCGGAAGAGGGTCACTTGAAAAAGCGGACCCATGACAAATATGATACAGGCCGGTTGGGACTGCTCTGCTGTGAACGCCCTGCCCGGGAAGAGACCGACGAGGCAGCAGCTGCATGCACCATCAAAAGAAGACGTCTTAGCGGCAATGCGGATGAGAAGATTCAAGCCCACAATTCTTTGGGAACCCCAGACTATACATGTTTTGTCGTGTTTGGGGGTCACTTTTAGTCAGGATCTAGAACCAGCAAAGAGACAATGTTAATATATTTTTGGAATTAGAAATCTGCTGAGGACATTCTTTTTTGACCCACTTTTTGTTCACGGCCGTTCCCCATTCCGTCTACAGTGCTGATTCTACAGCTGTACTTGGTGGGGTCCTCAAGGAGATGGCCCAGAATCTTTGCAGTTTGTTTTGGGATGGAGTTGAAGTCAACTCCCAGCGATACCATGTAGCATTGGTCGGAGTGAAGGGGGATGCTGAATTTCATGTCGAGGCTGCTGAACTTCTTCGATCCTTTTATACAGTTGGCACAGTGAACAACTTATTGATGTGCCCTGAGTGCCACGCTGATGATAACTTTTCCGATGTTTCTGATCGCCCAGTTTGGCTTGGAAGCGCGTCTACACTGCACAATTGCAGGGTGTCCTTTATTGGTGTAGAGCGACCCCCAACCAATGGTTTCTGTGGGACATGTGATTTTCGATGTGCAGTCACCATGCAAATGACCACTCGCGTTTTTGCTCAAGAAATGGTGCGTGACTGACGCACGGGGCTTTTGTTTTGTCGCTCACAGTTTCATCTTGAATCACTAAACAATTGTACGGGGCCTTTTTTGTGTGTAGGGGGACCCCCAACCAATGGTTTCATCTTGAAATCAGACTTTCTTTGGGGGGTCAGGTGATTGCAATCCATATGTCCTTTTTTGCCACCAAAGTATGGGTCATGGTCATGGGTCCAAAGTGTTCAACACCCCCAAGGCACATCACTGGTCGCGCGAGATTCTGAGGTGGGACAGTCAGTTCCCTGGGATCCGGCTTCTCCACCACCATTAGCTGTGGTTCCCTTTTCTGCTGATGGTGAGTACCCCGCCTTTCTCTACAAGAGGGACATGTTCCACATCATCAAGCATGGTGTTGGCAGAGAAGCATGTGCTTCGATTTTGCTGATGCTAGCCTACAACAGTTACTTTGACAGCCCTGGTGACTTGAGAAACTTGCCAGAGAGGCTGTCCCGTGGATTTCGACGGTTCAAACTCTGGTGTCAAACAGAAAATAAGACCACGTCCTTGAAGAATTTCACCCGAGCAAACCTCCACTATACTAAAGCAATCGCCTTTCCTTTTCTTGGAGGCAAAGGTGCTGATGTCACCTTGGTTCTCATGTTCTTGGACTTCTTTTTGGGCCTTTGTTTGTTGGAACCAAACGATGGTGACCGGCAGTTGCTTTCGGCAATGCTACACCTGGTGCGCTCCACGTTGAGCTTCCTGGGGGTGATGCACTCGCATGATCTGTTTCTCCCATTGGGGTGTTGTGGTTTCATGTGGAAAGAAGGGCTGAAGGCCCTACGATCTTACAGTTTTTGCGCGAAGCTGGCTATGCAAAGTCAGCGCCGCCTGTTCTGTTTGAGGCCTAAGTTTCATTACTGGGCTCACACAGTGTTCGAGTTGAGAAACTCGTATCACAACAACAATCCATGGACGCTGAACCCGGCTATTTTCAACTGCGAACAAAATGAGGACTTTATCGGAAGAATAGCTCGGATCAGCAGACATGTAAGCCCAAGGCTTCCTATCCAGAGAACTTTGCAGCGCTACGGTGTTGCGTTTGCTTCCCGGCTAAGGAAAATGTATAGAACGAACAGGAAGAAGTAAACCGGTGTTAAAGCACTCTTCATGTAACTCAACAGGTTGAAATAAGTTACTCCAGAGAGACCTGTTGTTGCCACGCCCTTCCTGCCAATCTCTGAGTTCCAAGCGGTGACAGATAGCGCGAGGCTGGACGGCCACTGTTGAACCAAAAAATGGATCAGCGAGAGTGGGTGGGGAGTGGGCCAGGAAAACACGATTACACTTTTTACTTCCGATCACGTTTTTGCTTTGAAGATGACACTTTAGTCTTCCAAATCAGCCGATGACAGAAAAAACGCAACGTTGGGTTTTCAAGGTAGTAGTAGTAGTAGTAGTAGTAGTAGTAGTAGTCGTGTAGGAGTAGTAGCAGTAGTAGAAGTAGTAGTAGTCGTAGTCAGCTAAGCCTCTGCCTCTGCCACATCCTAGAGACAAAAGCTGCAGCCCCGTTGTTGTTTTTTTGGACCCCCCCCTCAAAGGATGTTGTTGTCTCTACCCCCGCTAGAAACACCATTTGCAGCCCCGTTGCTGTTTTTTGACCCCCCCTCCAGAACAACACCCCAAAAAACATCAAAAAAACAAGAAACAGACCAACCATGACTTGAGTACCACAACGACAAGAAGTCCAGCTACTAACATCTCTCCAAACCTTCGACCCTATCCCTGACAGTGTCCCTTTGAAATCCCTGACTTGCAACACGTGACAACTATGTTGGATTATGTTGGGCAGCTGTTTTTGTCTCTACCAACAGCAGCAACAACAACAACACTAACAACAGCAACAACAACAGCAACAACAACAACAACACACTAACAACAGCAACAACAGCAACAACAGCAACCACAACCACAACCACAACCACCATCGCCCTACCAACACCAGCACTACCACCAGCCCACCTCACTCATGCATCCAGGCAAATCGGCCAGACTCTACCGCATCCATCCCGCGATGAGTGAGTCCCTGTGGCCATTCGTGAGTCCCAGCGTCGCCCTGGCCGCGCACTGGTCGTTGGCGCTAGGGCCCTGGGCGACACTGAAGTCGTTGGGGGGGCCCTTCGCTCCATCTCCCCAGACGAAACAGGCCGCGGGGAACCGCGTTCCAGACACCGTGACGTGGCGGGGCGGAGGCACGTTTCGTCTCACGAAATGAGACAATCCATGGCACTGGCATTATTGACCTAACTCGAGGGGTGGTTGAAAAGAGGTCGGTGTAGGCATATATTCCAGTCCCATGGAGTGTTTGGATATCATGAATGAACATTTACCCTGGAATCCAAAAAGAATCAAACAAACTTTAGGTGATCCGAAAAAGGCATTTCCTGTACTTTGGTCGTGCGAAATATCGTCGAACAGTACTTCTAGGATATTGAAACGTGGACCCATCAAAGGTATTCTGGAACATGTGTCTATTAATAGTCTCTTTTTGACCCAAAGCAGGTACTTGTGATTGCTTGTTCCCAGCCTTTCGGACTGTTTGATTGTCCTGCGGATTCGCAGAAATCTATCTGCGAGTCCGCAAGACGGTTTTTGCTACGAAAGACTCAGGCAGTTGTTGGGGATTTTAGACCGCATCACCCATATGAAGCACAGGACTCAGGAGTTGTTTCTTTTGATGTGATTTGGATTTTCAAGGTTATATGAGCTGAGATGAGAACATGCTTCCATGGTTGGCAGACACCATCAGTCTTTGCTTTAAAGAAAATGCCATGGGACATTCATTCGGCCGGGTGGGACACTGGATTCGGTCACTGCATGTCACTGCACCTCACATCACCGGCGCATTCGACAGTTGGGCCAAGTGTTCCATGTTCAACTGGCCTCAGTGTCATCTCAGTGGCATGTGCATTTTGTACTAAGAGATTACTAAACTATACATTTTATGCAATTGTACAAAAGCAACAGACTCGGTTCAAGGGTGGGTCATCCATCGTTTAGTATGTATTAAACATACATCCCCTTGATAGCAACAGGAGTCGGGTTTCTAGCTTCATGATGAATCAATTTATATATAGTTGTATAGATCATTCTAGATCACCCGGATGTTTCTTCCGTCCTGTTGCAGTTCTTAAAGAGATCATCAACCCAACAAAAACCAGCATATGATGGACTTGTTGGGCGCCGAACTTGCACAGACGGTGTTCTTTTTCTTTCTGCCTGCCAGTTCAAGATCCGAGCAGCGCTCGGCTCCTTTCAGGTGCCGTTGGATTTCGGCATCGAGGTGAAGTACGATGACCTGATGCAGGATTTCATGGATCGTTTCCAAGAGAAGCGCACAAATTATGACATTTGGGGCACCTGGATCCTGCTGAGTGCCCTGTATGCCCTGCCGCTGAGACTTGGTAGCGCTGAGACAGGTCCTTTCATGTCCGGTTTGGGCTCCAGTCGTACCTTTATTTCGAAGGTGGAACTGGGGTGGGTGCCAGGAGGGCTTCTGAGGATATGGTTGGAGCCCTATAGGGTTTTTGCTTTGGGAGTCAAACTGCAAAGACGCTGAGCCCTGACCAGGCACCGTGCGTACATGGAACATGGAGTCGAGTGGGACTGCCAGATTGATCCGATGGCCGATTTCGATCCGGAACTTCGACAGGCCTGAAGCCCGACTGCCAGACCTCCAGCCAAAATTTTAAATTGCCTGTACCCTAGACAATGTGACATGACCCCATTAACAAAAAGAAACATTGGTACTGTACTTGTCCTGACTTGTACTATAGTACCCTTTTCCGAGGTACGAACGGGTCAGGTGAATGAACATTGAAGTTGGGGCGAATCAGAAACACCCTCCACCCAAATCAAGTTCGAAGTGCTGGGAACACGGGTCACGAGGTTCCTGTGTCACTCTAAAGAAACTATGCACGGATCCTGCTCCTCACCAGGCGAAGGCAAAACCGCTTTGGGACTGCAAAGAGGTCACTGGGAAGCTTCTGGTGTGCCATTCTCAATGAACTATGCACCCTGATAACGTTTGATAGCTACCTCTCGGTTGGGACAAACCCGAATCATGTCATTTCTCAGTGTTCGCCGCAGAAGCCGGGACGAAGTTTAGGAACCTCGGCCGTGTTCAGTGTGTGACGCGTCCTGAGGATCTTGTTGAGTTTCTGTTTGCCACGCTTGAGAAAAGACCTGCTGAAGCTCAAAGCCTGGGTTCTTCGCCACGTCAGAGTTCCTGGGCGGTTAGAACGCCGAGTACTACCCCTATAGGGCTCCTAGCCCACCTCCTGAGGTTCGATGGTTGGGGTGGATGCCAGGGGGGTCTAACCACCGAGCCTGAGGAGATGGTTGGAGCCCTAGGGGTACTACGTACGGTTCTTGGAACGCGTGTTTTTGGGAGGGCGGAGGATTTTTGGTGCAGAGGATGCCGGTGTGGATTGGGCTGGGGGTGTGCGGTGTTCTTCCAGAACGAAGACGAGCCGGGATGCATGTTGGTTTCGGGCCATAGAAGGTGGTAAACTGTAAACCTTCCTTCCTTGGGATAAAAGAACCCTTCCATTTTGTGATATACATGTTAAATAATAATTGTTGATTGTTCTTGTTTTTAACGTTTTCGGTCCAGTTCCCGCTACTTGCCGGAGAAAAACATGTGGAGCTTCCCCGCCAAATGCCCACTGGCATGCATGACTGTGACTTACAGTGGTTTCAGAATAGATGGCTTTGGCACCCGAAGATGTTTAGACAGATGGGGATCCATATAAACCACCAACCTTGGGGATTGTGCCATCTATTCTGAAATCACTTTATAGTTTTATGTCCAAATGCAGTGGCTAGCCGGATATCCACGAACACTTGGTGATGTAAGAACGGCAGCAAACCCCCTCCCCTCTGCCTGCACATCTATCCATCCAACCTTCGCACGATTCTTCTTTCAACCAAATCCCGTGTTGCGAAAACTGGACACCCCAAAAAACCATCCAGGGTGGCAGGCTCTGGCAGGATCTCCGCCTCGAAGGCTTTGGAAGTGTTCTTCTATCTCCTCTCGATCGCCTCCAACGCCTTGAGCCTGGCGCCGCTCGCGGGGCGTCCCTTGGGCCGCCTCGCCGGTGTCCTCTTCGGCGTCGGCGGCGCGCTGGGCGAGTTCGGCGACGAGGCGGGAGCGGTGCCGGGGTACGGGAGTGGGTGTGAAAGGTCATAGAGAGATGAGAGATGGGGATTTGATGGGGATGAGATGGGGATGTGGTCAAGGTGACACATTTCGCTGGTGATTGAATACAATTGATGGTGGATACACCAGGATATAGGGAGGATTTGTTTCTGGGAGATGGGGGTTGGGTCTTGTCCTTGATGCAGGATCAAAGCCAGGGTGGCAAGCTTCAATTGATGGGGCCACCAACGCTCAGGGTTCCTGCATTGCCTAATCCACTGTGTATAGGTTTCTGGGGACACGTTGGGTTCATTCAAGCCGCCACTATTATATAATAGAAACATATAGAAACTCAAGCAGCTTCAAGCTTAAACTAGTTGGTTGTATTGCTTGAGGACATCATGTGTATTGTTGGGCTTTATATTGGTACATATTGGTACAAGATGGTACAAGAGCCTATTTTAAAGTACAAACACTATCCAACACTCACTTTTCTGGGAGGGAACCCGTAGACCACGCGCGATTCGACTTCCGAACACTCCGCAGACCACGTGGCAGACGAGGGCTGGACGCCTCGCTTTGAGCGCTTCATTTCAGGGTTTGCTGTGGGCCTCTGTGGCCCTCAGCCACGAGGAGCGGATCGGAGTCGATGCGCCCGGCACCGAGGAGGCCCCCCGGCTCACGTGACGCACGGCCGGGCTTCGGTTCTTTTCATGAAGAGGAGGGTGATGGAAGTGGGAGCTTGGTGCTGCTTGGTGCTGGTGTCCTTGTGTTCTTGGTTTACCTTACGACAAGAACTCTGCAAAGCCTCCTGCATGAGCTGTGGAGGATCTTTGGGTTCATAGGGGGATATACTGGGTATGGTATCATATAGTATTGTATCATTCATGTCCAACCATGCCACAGATGGGGGGTCTAAAACTCGTCAAATCATGTATTACAGTTGTTCAGTTGTTCAAGGTCTTCTGGTCCACCATGGAGGCCGCAACTCGTCGAATCATGGAGTGGCCACCATATAATAGGGCCGACAGAGTCTTGGCCGATGTTGGCCGGTAGAGGCTCCCCACATGGTTGGCACGCAGTGGTGCAACCACCCCACATGCTGGATGTCCCACCGTGGTGCAGTTCATGTTTGAGATGGTTCCACTGGTGTTCAACTGGTATATGATCCTCATTCGGCAACAGTGGTTGTTTTCCCATGAGGGATAAGCTCTTGGAGGTTTGGATGGACATTTTGGGATGAGAAGTACAGTACATCCAGAGGATAGTTCTGGTATGTTCCTGGTGCTTCTGGACCCTTTGGCATCAAAGAATTTGTGCCCCAAAATGGCAGGCCTCATGCGATCCTTGGTCGATTCCGCATCTCTTTGTGCTTTGCCGCAGGACCCCATGGCCGGGCTTTGTGCCATGCTTGGGCTCCTGGCCGTCCTCTCCTCCCTCCTCGCGCATGTGACGGACGACGAGAGCGAGGGAGACGAGCTTCGGCGTTGGGTGACGTGTCTCGCCGTGGCCTCGATCCTGGTGCTGGTGATCTCTCAGGCGAGGAAAGGGGGGCGCCAGAAGGTGGTGCATTGCGCCGCACAGTTTTTTGGTTTGGCGCGAAGCTGCTTGAGAAAGAAAGAGGGAGAGAGAGAGAGAGAGCAGCATGGATGCCACTCTGTCTTGACGGCTTTTGGGGTGGCTTTTTGGTGAGCGTCTTTGGTTAAATCAGTCAGAAGCCCTCTGTGTCGCCCGGCGGTCTTGGAGACGTCTTCCGACATCAGAATAAGACCGAGGTCGCGGTGTGGCGTCGGAAGATTTGCCTTTGGATTTGACCTTGTTTCTTCACCTAGGACCTAGGTAAACTCTTTGATAGGGGGCCGTACTGGGTGGATCAAATCCATGGCATTTGACCCACTTGATCCGGGTGCCAGCCTCTGAGCTACCTAACAACAACGTTTGTGCCTCAAAACAATCCACCCAAGTAAGAAGTTTATTTATGGTTGTTTCTTTTCGGGGGCCTCGGGGGGGCAAAATTTGAGATGATTTGATCCAGTAGTCATGTTTTGCAATTCCTGGCTTTTATCCAACCATGGGCCTCTTATCAAGTGGATGTTCTTTCCTGTGCTTTTGTTTTCCTGGGCTTATCAAGTGTCCCTAACCTGTTTGCCACCCACAGGGTGCTAAGAAGGCGAAGGGCCAAAACAAGCATCACCAGCACCACTGGGACAAAACAACGCCCACCTTGAAAGTGCCAAAAAAGAGGTGTTTGGCACTTTCCTTGTTTCCCTATCTGACATGTGCGAACACACTGATCAACCCGGCAAGTTGGGCCTGGGATGGGAACTCATGTTTGGCCATTAGGACGTCAGGCCTTTCAATATTATCAATGTTCATTGTTTATTTTTGTGTTTGTCTGAATTTGAACCTCAGCCCCTCAAATTGATCCACGCGATCTGGCTGAGAAAGGGTCAATCCCCCTGAAAAAGATCCTGTACAGACCCTAGGTCCGGGTATCTCGCAGAAGTTGTGAAGGTCTTTAAGCCAATGAATAGAAGGGTTGAGGAATTGGCAAACCGGTGCAAACGCATTCGTGAGAGCCGGTCGGTATGCATCCCACTCACTTCATGTATGCATATGTATGCATGTACAATTCCCAACGATTCAGCGATGTCCATGCGACGAATATAGTCAGTTGGGGTGGTTGCATAGTGGTTAATGTAGGCATTCAATCTATATATTCCAATCCCATGCAGTGTGCTTGGGTACCGATACTGACTTGGACCCTTGAAAGAAAAAAGACCTCAGTTCAGGTCTCAGATGCCAGTCGCATGGTTCCGTGTTTGCTGGTTCTAGTTACTCTACCAACAGAGGTTGAAGGACCCTATACCTGGACCTTCAAAGGGGTGTTTAATGGAGACCTAAGTAGTGGGCTGGGGCTTCCATTGGTGACCCCGACATGAAGGTGCTGGTAGACTATCCCGGTGGTCAGATGTCCGACCCGTGATGCCGTGCCTTTGCGGATGGACCGACTGTGACGACCAGGCGACGTTGAGAAGCGTTTGGTATATGGCGCTCGGTGGGATCCTGATCTGAAGTCGTGCGGCTTCTGAATCTGTTATCGGTCGGATCTATCGGAGACGAGTTTGAACCCCCCCCAAAAAGTGAGAGAGGAACTGCCAATCATGCGAATCATAACTTAAAGTGGTTTGTATGTTGCAAAGTACGTTCCAGGCACTTCTCGGGCTTAATATAGAAACATGAGCTGGCTAGCCGTTTTATTGTACAGTCCATTCTACTCTTTCTCTGGCTCTCTCTATGTATATATTAACTACATATATATATATATAGCATAGCAAATACTTCTTGTGCAGGAACGTGCAAGAGTTTACAATCTTATACGCTTGCCGCTTGCGGCTTTGCGTGGGCCGTGCGTTGTACTCTATTGCTCACAAGCATTAAGCATGGATTCCCCTTTGCCCTTTGGGGGCGGGATCCTTTTGAGCCACACAAACAATATCTCTGATATGTTTCAGTATATAGTTAATCATGCTCCTCCAAGAGGAACATGTTCACAAGAAAAACATGATCTCAAGTGCTGTTGGCTTGTGGTGTTTGTGGATTCTCCATCCAATCAGCTCAATTGGCAAGTTCCTTAGCACATGGTGTAAGCCCCTTGAGCACCGGGATGGAAAACTATCTTCATCAAAGAGGTATCCTTTCCTTTGTTTTGGCGGGGAGTACCTGAGTACCTACTCAGTCTCTTGTTCTCCGGTTGACTCCATCGTCCCGTTTACTCCATTGGCTGGGTAAGAAACCATAGACCCTATAGACGACATATAAAGTGTTCAGATACGCATAATTATCCCAAAAAGAGGCTAATGGGGTCTCTAAGTTATTCACCACCCCAGAAGCTGGGTCCTGGTAGTTCTTGAAGTGCTTGGTGATCTTTGGGAAGGGACCCACTTTGTATCCCTGCGAATTTCGTCCAGTTCCCTCCCAAGTCGACCAAGGTCTCACCAAGATCAGGATGTGGCCCACGGAATGTCCAAAATGTAGGGACTAACAGGTTGACTGTCGTGAGTTCTTCCAAAGCTTTCGCATGCTTTCGCTGTTCGAAAGGGTACCTTTCAGAGCCTGACCAGGATCTGTTGTGGACATCTCACCACACTGAGCGCCTTCTTCCTGCTGTCGCTGGGGCCCTCTGACCCCTGGAGATGAACGTCTCGATCTAACGATACCGGTCATCCGCAAGGCTACACTGCTTGCGGAAGGTCGTGCGCTATCTGGTGACCTAGAAGACCTAGAACCATAGTTGACCCCACACATGGAAACAAACATCACCATATATCACCATAATATATGGATGTGGGGTACTAGGCACCAGGAAGTCTTACATCCATGGTTGACCTCCCTGTCGTTCGCATCCCATGGTTCACGACCGGTTCGGGTGAACCGGTCACGAACCGGGTCCAGTCGCACCTTCCGAGAAGGTGGCAATGGATCGTTAAGGGCATATGACTCATATGCCATATTTTGCGATGGTCAATGTGCAGGACAGGGGTAGTTATATAATTACTCGATGTCCATAGACATTTGGCATCCACAACTCTGAGTTGTTCTTCTTAAACATCGTTTTGATTTGGGATTTAGACTTACCCACGTGCCAAAAGCTGACAGAATGGCCACCGCTAGGGCGAGTCTTTGGGAGAAGTCCTTTATCTTAACGAGTGTTTGACCACTGCGACATCTGCCGAGCTGTTCTTCTTTGGAGATTCCTCCAGAAATGCTTCTCCAGGAAAGTAGAATTGTTTGTTTGCCTGTTGGTTGCCCCCAAACCTGGTTTTTTGACCACACACTTAATTGCATATATATGTTTTAGGTCCAGGGAAATCAACGGAATCAATGGAAGAAACGACCAATTCTTACCAACAGAATCGCTGTTAAAAAGCACGAATGGAATGCAGAAAAGTTCTAGTGCAGTGTTGGCAGCTAGTGAAAGCCAAGCGGAAGGGAGTTGATCGGTGTTTTTTGTTACATGTTTTGGTTTGGTTCTATACATGATGAACACCATCTATAACCACAAACAAAGGGGTAAACAATCATTATTTTCCTGGATTATGAATCTGCAGGACAATGCGACAATGGCAACGTAAGCAATTACAAGCAGTTATATCTATAATATACCCTACGCACTCAAACCGTATAAATTTGTAGGGTCGATGGAAAAACCTAGGGTTTGTAAAGGAAACCCCAGGTTTTCCAAACCAGTACTAAAATACCGGTTATGGGTTTAGTACGGGTAGAAAAACACGATCCGAGGTTCTAAGAACAAACTTTAAGTATGTTTGATTTCACCAAGGTTCCCGAGGTTCCGATTGAGAAATTGAGACCCTACAAATTTATATATAGGGTTTGGGTGCGTTGGTTTGTATGTCTTTTTAAGCTAGCTGGTATGACTCCTGGTCGCGCAGTGTGGAGTGCTGGTGAACTGCTGGGTGACTGTGGTCACACGTGGCCTCCGGAAGGGAAGGAAGCTCCAGGGTCCGGCTCTTCGGAGATGGGCCCATTTTCATGGTGATAGGGGGTGATAGGGTGTACCCTTAAGAAGTGAAGATTGGTGAAGTTGAGCACCAAAAGTATCAGTATCAAACAATCGATATTTGTAACCCCGGACATATTTTTGTAGAATAGAAGTTCATTCAGAACGGACAGACACCTAGTTTCTTTGCCTGCAACCCACAAGATGTCAAAAGAAAAGAGAAAGAAAGAGCCGAGATGGTCAGGACATGCTTCGGCAAATGATGATTGTGGGCACCATCATTGCCTGCATCTTGGTGGGTTTGATCTTCGGGGTGCCGAGCCTCACTAACTCAGCCACTTGTTCCTTGGCTCAGCGTGGGAACTGCATTGGCTCAGCGGATTGACGGAGTACTGCCCTGACGTAGAGATCAAGTGTGCTGCAGCTTTCGAACCAAACCTGGCTGGTTCTTTTGTCCTTGAACTTCCGCTGGCCAGGCTTGCGCCCAGAGCCTGGCATGTGTGGAAGACTGGTTTTCAAGAATGCCTGAGGAACAAAAAAACACAAACACTCAGCCAGACTCTTCCAACTGGCTCTTTGAGTTATAGAGCTTATGCTAGCATTCCTCCAAAACTCATTGGGGTTGGGGGTGTTTCATGTGTTTCTACCTTCCAACGTCTTCCAACACCCACTTTGGGACCCCCAAAATTCGCGGGATCGCCTCTGTGGTCGACGCCGGAGGGACCCCCAAAGCCTTACTGATGGAGGTGTCGAAGGATTCTTAGGGCTGCTTTTCAGGTCTAAGTCTTGAGAGTGAGTGTGAGTGTGAGTCTAAGTGAACGTGAGTAAGAGTGAAGGTGGGTGTCAGTGAGTGTGGGTGAGAGATGATCCCCCACGTTTCAGTCATGGTGCTTCAACTGTTTGCTGGCTTGTTAATTGGCTGGTGCTGCTGGATGCTTTCCGGGAAGCGACACTCATTCCCTACGACTCGCACCAATCTGCTTATTTGGGGTTCGAGTTCGGTCACTTGATGCAACCAATCTGCTGGATCCTATTCCGGTGGTGAATGACTTGATGTGTTTCTTTCTCCCTAGGGATCCAGTCGTACCGAACCTCAGGTTCGGTATGACTGGACCCTCCAAGTCCCTACATTAGAGTGTCTCATTAGAGGTCTTCTTTTCCTGTTTCAAAGTCGGCTTTCTGAGTCCGGACATATCTCGATGACCCACCCCACACGGGCCCACGTGTGGGTCACCCGAGGCTCTCTTCTTCTCTGGTTTTGGGCCAAGTGCTTGGAAGCTCCCTGGGGCAATTGGCTTTTCAAGGCCGGGACGTCCCATGGGGGACGTCCGCGTGGATGACTCCAAGACACCGATAATTTGTTGTGAGTATAGTGAGAAATTAAAGACCTCAACTTGTGTTTTGTCTCGACATCGCTACAAGTTGTAGTCCGTGTTGTGAGTTTTTACGTGTTTTTTGTGGTTGTTTGGAACTGTCAGGGCAACACCTTGTGTTCAGCATGTCATGTGTGGTCCGGTTCATGTGTTCGTCACGTAGTTAACCTCCCTGTGTAGCCCTCCTTCAGGTCTTCATCAGTGTAGCCCTCCTTCAAATCATCCGCCAGCATCCCAACTTGCTGCTTGAGAGCCTTGGCACGCCTTGGGAGCTCCCCTTGAGGAGCAGTCGTGAGCTCAGTCGTGAGGATCCAGAGAGCTGCCCAAGTGAACACAGACTGGAACACACCTTGTTTTTGTTCTGTGAAAGCTGGAAAAGGCCAGGGGAATCCCTGGATATCTCGTTTTGAGTCTCGCAGCACCAGTTCCCTAAATCCCACAAGGTCCGGGACCATCCACACCATCCCACCATCCCGAATCGGAACTAGCCGAACTCGCCGCAGTTCGACCATTCTTAGGAAGTACGTACTGGCCTCAGTGGCTCCGAAAATACCATTTTCCTAGGTCTTCCAGGGTGTGCACAATTTTCGACCTTAGGAAAAGAAG